GCGTTGTCCGCCACTTCGCTAGGTACGAAGTCGGCCGATGTAGTGAAACTCGAATATCTAACCAGGAGCAGGAACGACATTCGCAGTCATATCTTCAGCGTCACGCACAGTCGACCTCGGTCAAACCCGCGTCGGCTCCGTTCTAGTCAGCGCAGCCGTCATTGACGACGTCGTGGGGCTCGTCATGTCGAGGTTATTCCCATTTCACCTCCCTCATTGATCTGGCACTAATCTCAACAGCGTGATCTCCGACCTGGGCCGCTTGAATTCTGGCTTATCCGTAAACCTAGGCTGGCTGATTGGCCGCCCAATCGTGGCCTCCGTCGCAATGGCAATTGTCACACCTATCGTCACAAAGTATATATTCGCGCCGTTGTTTCGCAAGTACATCGAATATCACTTCGCGCGATACGACCACATCTCCAACCTTGTCCTCATGATACTCGTCCTGTGTGCCTTCATCTCCATCGCCGCATACGCCGGGACATCCGTACTTTTCGGGGCTTTCCTCGCAGGAACCTTCCTCACATACATCCCGAGCAAGCACCCAGAGGCGCCGTTCGTAGTCACGAGTCGCGAGGAGGGCGAGCGAGAGGCGCACAAGTCTCCGACGTTCGTGCATACCTTCGAGCGATACCTGGTTGACGTGCAGAAGTATCTGATGGAGCCGCTGTTCTTCGCGAGTGTAGGGTTTGCGATTCCGTTTGTGCAACTTTGGACGGGCATGAGGATTTGGCGTGGAGTGTTGTTTACTCTGCTGATGGTCTTTGCAAAGGTTAGCTTTCCACTCATCGATTATAAGCTGACTACACACCTTCTAACGATGATTTTAAGTTCATTGTTGGGATATGGGTCATCATTTGGCAAGCACTTTTTAACTCAAAGGGCCGGAAGCAACTGTCGCGCGGCCAAAAGAAAACTCAACGTAAACAACCACAGGACGAGGAATCGCATACCCACGAGGCTACCACAAATTCCAGGGACAACGATGTGTCCCAGACAGGGTCCTCCGAGAAGCAGCCTCCCTCACAGCTCAAATTGTCTCACAAATCCACCCGCACAGTCTGGCTCTCCGGCCTCCTGCTCGGCTCTGCGATGGTCGCGCGCGGGGAAATCGGCCTCTTGATAATCGAGATCGGATACAATGAGACCTCATACGTCACGGAGGACGGGTTCATCACAGGCGTGTGGGCGATTCTGCTTAATACGATCATCGGGCCTGTTAGCGTAGGGTTGCTCGTCAAGGCATACGGAAAGCGGATCGGGGAAGGTGAATGGGGGTTGCAGAAGGCTGAGGGTGGGAGGGGTGCCGACAACAATGGTCACCACACAGAGGGTGGTGAATCTGCTGCTTGACAGCAATAGTGGCGAGTTGAAGCAGGTACGATCGAGGAGCTGTGACCATGTTGCAGTGATGCAAATCAGAGATCGAAGGTTACTTCCCCAAGGAGTGACCCCGGTACATGAGACAAAGAACAGGGTCGAGGGTTTGGCAGGAAGGAGGGCAAGGCCAGCAATACTTACGAAGCCTTAAGAGACTTCCAGCGTCTGCTCAAAGATCAACATATTGATGCTTAATCGCGGGGATTATTGAGTGGAGCCCAGTCAAGTGATTACATGACAGGTTGTTTGGGAATCGTCTTGCTCTGGATTCCTAGCTAGGTTTGAATCGCATAAGAGTATCGCCACAAGCCTGGAGCTCTACTGGGGGGATTGTGAGATTGTGAGATTGTGAGATGGTAGTGGGTTTCCAATGTTGTGAGCCAAAGGGGTTCCACGTCTGCGCAGTAAGGAAGGTTATTTTGAGAGTTAGGGAATGCTAAAGTGAAATTAGAAATCGTAGCGAATGTAGTAATAATTAGCGACGTCTGTATTTCGAGATAAAATAATAACGAACATCTCTAATTGCCGTCTGGTAGGGGCAACATTCATCATTGTTTCGGACCTGAGTGAGCTTCTGGACGACCGCGTCATCGACCGCGTCAAGTGCGGGTCGGCTCTTCACATCCTTCCACGGTCCCATTTGCTGGACTACTCTCCTCGCCGATCTTGCTCCATCGCACGATCGTATGCCTTCCTTGGCTTGGTGGGTGTCATGACCTGTGCTTGCAATTTCCGTTCCTAGGTGGCGCGACTAGAAAGCTGTTGCTAATCTTAGATATCATTGGATGGCGCTAACGGACACCCGTTACTTCTGGAGAATAAACCATTCCTGACTGATGGGTCCGCTTCCGAGGGGGTAATAATGATTGGACAAAGGCTTCCCTCCCTTAAACCCGGCTCTTTTCTGAAGGCTACAAGTCATCTTTCCCCATTGAGGGGAAAGATGCTTATTTCAACTATTCTATTTATGTGAGCTGCTATTGCCCATGAATTTTAAATAATATACTCAGGGAAGCCTTTATTCCAATTCGTACCATAGACTGCGCGGAAGAACCGACGCTGGAGAGTCACTGGGTTCCTTTGTCCAGGCAGAAGAGCAATCGTACCCCGGACCCTCTTTCACAGGACGACAGGGGGTACGGTACGATACATCAACGCCTGAAAATATATACTTGAAGAGTGAGACAATTAAAGGCGGATAAATATTATTGAAGGGTATTTTTTCGAGGCTCCCAACCCATAATAGCCTGCAAGCGTGGGATCGGGAGTATGTACTCTTCGTAAGCTACGGAAGACTGCGTGCAGTAGAGCGAAGGTGATATGGCTCATAGAGCTAGGTACCCAAATCTGGGAACGGCGATGGGCCGAGGCGGATCACGAGACCGGGCCCTTTACTGTCCCGCGGGGACCATAGTCCGTGGTGGCTCATGAGCCACTGCAGACTGAGAGCCCGCTCAGGTGCCTGGCAACCAACTGGTATCTCAAGGGGCCTGCAACCGAAACTTTGATAAGACATTGATCTTGCTATTGCTTTTGTCCTTAAATGCCGCCGCAAATTCCGCAGATTCCCTGGACGTGTCAGAGGGGGAATTTATTTTCTGCATCTAGTTCGCCCCAGGGCAAAGAAAGGATGCCCCAGGGCAAAGAAAGGATGCCCCAGGGCAAAGAAAGGATGCCCCAGGGCAAAGAAAGGATGCCCCAGGGCAAAGAAAGGATGCCCCAGGGCAAAGAAAGGATGCCCCAGGGCAAAGAAAGGATGCCCCAGGGCAAAGAAAGGATGCCCCAGGGCAAAGAAAGGATGCCCCAGGGCAAAGAAAGGATGCCCCAGGGCAAAGAAAGGATGCCCCAGGGCAAAGAAAGGATGCCCCAGGGCAAAGAAAGGATGCCCCAGGGCAAAGAAAGGATGCCCCAGGGCAAAGAAAGGATGCCCCAGGGCAAAGAAAGGATGCCCCAGGGCAAAGAAAGGATGCCCCAGGGCAAAGAAAGGATGCCCCAGGGCAAAGAAAGGATGCCCCAGGGCAAAGAAAGGATGCCCCAGGGCAAAGAAAGGATGCCCCAGGGCAAAGAAAGGATGCCCCAGGGCAAAGAAAGGATGCCCCAGGGCAAAGAAAGGATGCCCCAGGGCAAAGAAAGGATGCCCCAGGGCAAAGAAAGGATGCCCCAGGGCAAAGAAAGGATGCCCCAGGGCAAAGAAAGGATGCCCCAGGGCAAAGAAAGGATGCCCCAGGGCAAAGAAAGGATGCCCCAGGGCAAAGAAAGGATGCCCCAGGGCAAAGAAAGGATGCCCCAGGGCAAAGAAAGGATGCCCCAGGGCAAAGAAAGGATGCCCCAGGGCAAAGAAAGGATGCCCCAGGGCAAAGAAAGGATGCCCCAGGGCAAAGAAAGGATGCCCCAGGGCAAAGAAAGGATGCCCCAGGGCAAAGAAAGGATGCCCCAGGGCAAAGAAAGGATGCCCCAGGGCAAAGAAAGGATGCCCCAGGGCAAAGAAAGGATGCCCCAGGGCAAAGAAAGGATGCCCCAGGGCAAAGAAAGGATGCCCCAGGGCAAAGAAAGGATGCCCCAGGGCAAAGAAAGGATGCCCCAGGGCAAAGAAAGGATGCCCCAGGGCAAAGAAAGGATGCCCCAGGGCAAAGAAAGGATGCCCCAGGGCAAAGAAAGGATGCCCCAGGGCAAAGAAAGGATGCCCCAGGGCAAAGAAAGGATGCCCCAGGGCAAAGAAAGGATGCCCCAGGGCAAAGAAAGGATGCCCCAGGGCAAAGAAAGGATGCCCCAGGGCAAAGAAAGGATGCCCCAGGGCAAAGAAAGGATGCCCCAGGGCAAAGAAAGGATGCCCCAGGGCAAAGAAAGGATGCCCCAGGGCAAAGAAAGGATGCCCCAGGGCAAAGAAAGGATGCCCCAGGGCAAAGAAAGGATGCCCCAGGGCAAAGAAAGGATGCCCCAGGGCAAAGAAAGGATGCCCCAGGGCAAAGAAAGGATGCCCCAGGGCAAAGAAAGGATGCCCCAGGGCAAAGAAAGGATGCCCCAGGGCAAAGAAAGGATGCCCCAGGGCAAAGAAAGGATGCCCCAGGGCAAAGAAAGGATGCCCCAGGGCAAAGAAAGGATGCCCCAGGGCAAAGAAAGGATGCCCCAGGGCAAAGAAAGGATGCCCCAGGGCAAAGAAAGGATGCCCCAGGGCAAAGAAAGGATGCCCCAGGGCAAAGAAAGGATGCCCCAGGGCAAAGAAAGGATGCCCCAGGGCAAAGAAAGGATGCCCCAGGGCAAAGAAAGGATGCCCCAGGGCAAAGAAAGGATGCCCCAGGGCAAAGAAAGGATGCCCCAGGGCAAAGAAAGGATGCCCCAGGGCAAAGAAAGGATGCCCCAGGGCAAAGAAAGGATGCCCCAGGGCAAAGAAAGGATGCCCCAGGGCAAAGAAAGGATGCCCCAGGGCAAAGAAAGGATGCCCCAGGGCAAAGAAAGGATGCCCCAGGGCAAAGAAAGGATGCCCCAGGGCAAAGAAAGGATGCCCCAGGGCAAAGAAAGGATGCCCCAGGGCAAAGAAAGGATGCCCCAGGGCAAAGAAAGGATGCCCCAGGGCAAAGAAAGGATGCCCCAGGGCAAAGAAAGGATGCCCCAGGGCAAAGAAAGGATGCCCCAGGGCAAAGAAAGGATGCCCCAGGGCAAAGAAAGGATGCCCCAGGGCAAAGAAAGGATGCCCCAGGGCAAAGAAAGGATGCCCCAGGGCAAAGAAAGGATGCCCCAGGGCAAAGAAAGGATGCCCCAGGGCAAAGAAAGGATGCCCCAGGGCAAAGAAAGGATGCCCCAGGGCAAAGAAAGGATGCCCCAGGGCAAAGAAAGGATGCCCCAGGGCAAAGAAAGGATGCCCCAGGGCAAAGAAAGGATGCCCCAGGGCAAAGAAAGGATGCCCCAGGGCAAAGAAAGGATGCCCCAGGGCAAAGAAAGGATGCCCCAGGGCAAAGAAAGGATGCCCCAGGGCAAAGAAAGGATGCCCCAGGGCAAAGAAAGGATGCCCCAGGGCAAAGAAAGGATGCCCCAGGGCAAAGAAAGGATGCCCCAGGGCAAAGAAAGGATGCCCCAGGGCAAAGAAAGGATGCCCCAGGGCAAAGAAAGGATGCCCCAGGGCAAAGAAAGGATGCCCCAGGGCAAAGAAAGGATGCCCCAGGGCAAAGAAAGGATGCCCCAGGGCAAAGAAAGGATGCCCCAGGGCAAAGAAAGGATGCCCCAGGGCAAAGAAAGGATGCCCCAGGGCAAAGAAAGGATGCCCCAGGGCAAAGAAAGGATGCCCCAGGGCAAAGAAAGGATGCCCCAGGGCAAAGAAAGGATGCCCCAGGGCAAAGAAAGGATGCCCCAGGGCAAAGAAAGGATGCCCCAGGGCAAAGAAAGGATGCCCCAGGGCAAAGAAAGGATGCCCCAGGGCAAAGAAAGGATGCCCCAGGGCAAAGAAAGGATGCCCCAGGGCAAAGAAAGGATGCCCCAGGGCAAAGAAAGGATGCCCCAGGGCAAAGAAAGGATGCCCCAGGGCAAAGAAAGGATGCCCCAGGGCAAAGAAAGGATGCCCCAGGGCAAAGAAAGGATGCCCCAGGGCAAAGAAAGGATGCCCCAGGGCAAAGAAAGGATGCCCCAGGGCAAAGAAAGGATGCCCCAGGGCAAAGAAAGGATGCCCCAGGGCAAAGAAAGGATGCCCCAGGGCAAAGAAAGGATGCCCCAGGGCAAAGAAAGGATGCCCCAGGGCAAAGAAAGGATGCCCCAGGGCAAAGAAAGGATGCCCCAGGGCAAAGAAAGGATGCCCCAGGGCAAAGAAAGGATGCCCCAGGGCAAAGAAAGGATGCCCCAGGGCAAAGAAAGGATGCCCCAGGGCAAAGAAAGGATGCCCCAGGGCAAAGAAAGGATGCCCCAGGGCAAAGAAAGGATGCCCCAGGGCAAAGAAAGGATGCCCCAGGGCAAAGAAAGGATGCCCCAGGGCAAAGAAAGGATGCCCCAGGGCAAAGAAAGGATGCCCCAGGGCAAAGAAAGGATGCCCCAGGGCAAAGAAAGGATGCCCCAGGGCAAAGAAAGGATGCCCCAGGGCAAAGAAAGGATGCCCCAGGGCAAAGAAAGGATGCCCCAGGGCAAAGAAAGGATGCCCCAGGGCAAAGAAAGGATGCCCCAGGGCAAAGAAAGGATGCCCCAGGGCAAAGAAAGGATGCCCCAGGGCAAAGAAAGGATGCCCCAGGGCAAAGAAAGGATGCCCCAGGGCAAAGAAAGGATGCCCCAGGGCAAAGAAAGGATGCCCCAGGGCAAAGAAAGGATGCCCCAGGGCAAAGAAAGGATGCCCCAGGGCAAAGAAAGGATGCCCCAGGGCAAAGAAAGGATGCCCCAGGGCAAAGAAAGGATGCCCCAGGGCAAAGAAAGGATGCCCCAGGGCAAAGAAAGGATGCCCCAGGGCAAAGAAAGGATGCCCCAGGGCAAAGAAAGGATGCCCCAGGGCAAAGAAAGGATGCCCCAGGGCAAAGAAAGGATGCCCCAGGGCAAAGAAAGGATGCCCCAGGGCAAAGAAAGGATGCCCCAGGGCAAAGAAAGGATGCCCCAGGGCAAAGAAAGGATGCCCCAGGGCAAAGAAAGGATGCCCCAGGGCAAAGAAAGGATGCCCCAGGGCAAAGAAAGGATGCCCCAGGGCAAAGAAAGGATGCCCCAGGGCAAAGAAAGGATGCCCCAGGGCAAAGAAAGGATGCCCCAGGGCAAAGAAAGGATGCCCCAGGGCAAAGAAAGGATGCCCCAGGGCAAAGAAAGGATGCCCCAGGGCAAAGAAAGGATGCCCCAGGGCAAAGAAAGGATGCCCCAGGGCAAAGAAAGGATGCCCCAGGGCAAAGAAAGGATGCCCCAGGGCAAAGAAAGGATGCCCCAGGGCAAAGAAAGGATGCCCCAGGGCAAAGAAAGGATGCCCCAGGGCAAAGAAAGGATGCCCCAGGGCAAAGAAAGGATGCCCCAGGGCAAAGAAAGGATGCCCCAGGGCAAAGAAAGGATGCCCCAGGGCAAAGAAAGGATGCCCCAGGGCAAAGAAAGGATGCCCCAGGGCAAAGAAAGGATGCCCCAGGGCAAAGAAAGGATGCCCCAGGGCAAAGAAAGGATGCCCCAGGGCAAAGAAAGGATGCCCCAGGGCAAAGAAAGGATGCCCCAGGGCAAAGAAAGGATGCCCCAGGGCAAAGAAAGGATGCCCCAGGGCAAAGAAAGGATGCCCCAGGGCAAAGAAAGGATGCCCCAGGGCAAAGAAAGGATGCCCCAGGGCAAAGAAAGGATGCCCCAGGGCAAAGAAAGGATGCCCCAGGGCAAAGAAAGGATGCCCCAGGGCAAAGAAAGGATGCCCCAGGGCAAAGAAAGGATGCCCCAGGGCAAAGAAAGGATGCCCCAGGGCAAAGAAAGGATGCCCCAGGGCAAAGAAAGGATGCCCCAGGGCAAAGAAAGGATGCCCCAGGGCAAAGAAAGGATGCCCCAGGGCAAAGAAAGGATGCCCCAGGGCAAAGAAAGGATGCCCCAGGGCAAAGAAAGGATGCCCCAGGGCAAAGAAAGGATGCCCCAGGGCAAAGAAAGGATGCCCCAGGGCAAAGAAAGGATGCCCCAGGGCAAAGAAAGGATGCCCCAGGGCAAAGAAAGGATGCCCCAGGGCAAAGAAAGGATGCCCCAGGGCAAAGAAAGGATGCCCCAGGGCAAAGAAAGGATGCCCCAGGGCAAAGAAAGGATGCCCCAGGGCAAAGAAAGGATGCCCCAGGGCAAAGAAAGGATGCCCCAGGGCAAAGAAAGGATGCCCCAGGGCAAAGAAAGGATGCCCCAGGGCAAAGAAAGGATGCCCCAGGGCAAAGAAAGGATGCCCCAGGGCAAAGAAAGGATGCCCCAGGGCAAAGAAAGGATGCCCCAGGGCAAAGAAAGGATGCCCCAGGGCAAAGAAAGGATGCCCCAGGGCAAAGAAAGGATGCCCCAGGGCAAAGAAAGGATGCCCCAGGGCAAAGAAAGGATGCCCCAGGGCAAAGAAAGGATGCCCCAGGGCAAAGAAAGGATGCCCCAGGGCAAAGAAAGGATGCCCCAGGGCAAAGAAAGGATGCCCCAGGGCAAAGAAAGGATGCCCCAGGGCAAAGAAAGGATGCCCCAGGGCAAAGAAAGGATGCCCCAGGGCAAAGAAAGGATGCCCCAGGGCAAAGAAAGGATGCCCCAGGGCAAAGAAAGGATGCCCCAGGGCAAAGAAAGGATGCCCCAGGGCAAAGAAAGGATGCCCCAGGGCAAAGAAAGGATGCCCCAGGGCAAAGAAAGGATGCCCCAGGGCAAAGAAAGGATGCCCCAGGGCAAAGAAAGGATGCCCCAGGGCAAAGAAAGGATGCCCCAGGGCAAAGAAAGGATGCCCCAGGGCAAAGAAAGGATGCCCCAGGGCAAAGAAAGGATGCCCCAGGGCAAAGAAAGGATGCCCCAGGGCAAAGAAAGGATGCCCCAGGGCAAAGAAAGGATGCCCCAGGGCAAAGAAAGGATGCCCCAGGGCAAAGAAAGGATGCCCCAGGGCAAAGAAAGGATGCCCCAGGGCAAAGAAAGGATGCCCCAGGGCAAAGAAAGGATGCCCCAGGGCAAAGAAAGGATGCCCCAGGGCAAAGAAAGGATGCCCCAGGGCAAAGAAAGGATGCCCCAGGGCAAAGAAAGGATGCCCCAGGGCAAAGAAAGGATGCCCCAGGGCAAAGAAAGGATGCCCCAGGGCAAAGAAAGGATGCCCCAGGGCAAAGAAAGGATGCCCCAGGGCAAAGAAAGGATGCCCCAGGGCAAAGAAAGGATGCCCCAGGGCAAAGAAAGGATGCCCCAGGGCAAAGAAAGGATGCCCCAGGGCAAAGAAAGGATGCCCCAGGGCAAAGAAAGGATGCCCCAGGGCAAAGAAAGGATGCCCCAGGGCAAAGAAAGGATGCCCCAGGGCAAAGAAAGGATGCCCCAGGGCAAAGAAAGGATGCCCCAGGGCAAAGAAAGGATGCCCCAGGGCAAAGAAAGGATGCCCCAGGGCAAAGAAAGGATGCCCCAGGGCAAAGAAAGGATGCCCCAGGGCAAAGAAAGGATGCCCCAGGGCAAAGAAAGGATGCCCCAGGGCAAAGAAAGGATGCCCCAGGGCAAAGAAAGGATGCCCCAGGGCAAAGAAAGGATGCCCCAGGGCAAAGAAAGGATGCCCCAGGGCAAAGAAAGGATGCCCCAGGGCAAAGAAAGGATGCCCCAGGGCAAAGAAAGGATGCCCCAGGGCAAAGAAAGGATGCCCCAGGGCAAAGAAAGGATGCCCCAGGGCAAAGAAAGGATGCCCCAGGGCAAAGAAAGGATGCCCCAGGGCAAAGAAAGGATGCCCCAGGGCAAAGAAAGGATGCCCCAGGGCAAAGAAAGGATGCCCCAGGGCAAAGAAAGGATGCCCCAGGGCAAAGAAAGGATGCCCCAGGGCAAAGAAAGGATGCCCCAGGGCAAAGAAAGGATGCCCCAGGGCAAAGAAAGGATGCCCCAGGGCAAAGAAAGGATGCCCCAGGGCAAAGAAAGGATGCCCCAGGGCAAAGAAAGGATGCCCCAGGGCAAAGAAAGGATGCCCCAGGGCAAAGAAAGGATGCCCCAGGGCAAAGAAAGGATGCCCCAGGGCAAAGAAAGGATGCCCCAGGGCAAAGAAAGGATGCCCCAGGGCAAAGAAAGGATGCCCCAGGGCAAAGAAAGGATGCCCCAGGGCAAAGAAAGGATGCCCCAGGGCAAAGAAAGGATGCCCCAGGGCAAAGAAAGGATGCCCCAGGGCAAAGAAAGGATGCCCCAGGGCAAAGAAAGGATGCCCCAGGGCAAAGAAAGGATGCCCCAGGGCAAAGAAAGGATGCCCCAGGGCAAAGAAAGGATGCCCCAGGGCAAAGAAAGGATGCCCCAGGGCAAAGAAAGGATGCCCCAGGGCAAAGAAAGGATGCCCCAGGGCAAAGAAAGGATGCCCCAGGGCAAAGAAAGGATGCCCCAGGGCAAAGAAAGGATGCCCCAGGGCAAAGAAAGGATGCCCCAGGGCAAAGAAAGGATGCCCCAGGGCAAAGAAAGGATGCCCCAGGGCAAAGAAAGGATGCCCCAGGGCAAAGAAAGGATGCCCCAGGGCAAAGAAAGGATGCCCCAGGGCAAAGAAAGGATGCCCCAGGGCAAAGAAAGGATGCCCCAGGGCAAAGAAAGGATGCCCCAGGGCAAAGAAAGGATGCCCCAGGGCAAAGAAAGGATGCCCCAGGGCAAAGAAAGGATGCCCCAGGGCAAAGAAAGGATGCCCCAGGGCAAAGAAAGGATGCCCCAGGGCAAAGAAAGGATGCCCCAGGGCAAAGAAAGGATGCCCCAGGGCAAAGAAAGGATGCCCCAGGGCAAAGAAAGGATGCCCCAGGGCAAAGAAAGGATGCCCCAGGGCAAAGAAAGGATGCCCCAGGGCAAAGAAAGGATGCCCCAGGGCAAAGAAAGGATGCCCCAGGGCAAAGAAAGGATGCCCCAGGGCAAAGAAAGGATGCCCCAGGGCAAAGAAAGGATGCCCCAGGGCAAAGAAAGGATGCCCCAGGGCAAAGAAAGGATGCCCCAGGGCAAAGAAAGGATGCCCCAGGGCAAAGAAAGGATGCCCCAGGGCAAAGAAAGGATGCCCCAGGGCAAAGAAAGGATGCCCCAGGGCAAAGAAAGGATGCCCCAGGGCAAAGAAAGGATGCCCCAGGGCAAAGAAAGGATGCCCCAGGGCAAAGAAAGGATGCCCCAGGGCAAAGAAAGGATGCCCCAGGGCAAAGAAAGGATGCCCNTGATTGATTGATTGATTGATTACGTCATCCGAACCGGCCCAGCCGCCCCGAAGGCAGCTATGCGGCTTGTATCCTAATCGACGGTCGCCAGCTTCGACCTTATGTACATGAAATTAAAATGTATATCTCTCAAGGTAGGAGAGAAGGTAAAATCTGGTTAGAAGTGTGCCTGCCCGTGCGCATTGCTGCCGCACAGACTGGTGTTGCATCCGCGTGCGATCGGGGACTCAGTGCTCCGCTAAGTTATCCGTATCGACGCTCCAAAATTGCCCAAGGAGCTTGGTTTCCAGCATGTATCTGGCGGCTCGCGCCGCCTGTTTTCCATCAGTGAGCACCTTTTTCAGGTTGGCCGACCATGTGCCTTCGTTCCGCCACACGTTGCGTTCATCTTTAAACCTGGGGCAGGTGAATAAGATGTGTGCAACGGTCTGCTCCCCCCGCCGGCACTGGCACTGGCCGTCCTCAACTTCAGGGACCTTCCTCTGACAGAGGAAGTGCCTTAATCCTATGTGCCCCGTCCTCATTTGCGTTATTATAGATGAGAGCGCTTTGTCTAGATTGGTGTGGATCTCTGTGTTTTTCTTGGTCGGGGTGTTGATGATCTGGAAGAGTGCGCGGCCTCTTGTGTCTTGGTGCCAGTTTCGTTCCCACTGTTCATAGGCTCGTGTTTTCAGCTTTCTCTTGAGTGCAGACATGGGTTGTCTCAGGCCCTCCAATCTTGGGGCTGTAAAGTCCGTGTCTATTTGGACGTTTCGTCCTCGGGTATTCCGCGTGAGTCTCCATCCTGTGGCTTCCTTCGCAGCCTTGTCTGCTAGTTCATTGCCTTCGATCCCTTGATGTGCCGGGATCCAGTGTATGGCTACATGGACGCCCCGACTCCGGAGTTTATCCCATTCCTGGATGATCGAGCTGATGATCTGCTGTCCCGTGGTGTGTGGCCCGTCTATCGCTTGAATGGCGGCCTGACTGTCCGAGAAAATCGTCACCTTCTGGTTGTCGAGGAATTGGGCCATCTCCAGCGCCATCTGGATTCCCACAAGCTCTGCCATGAAGACGTTTGCCTCGGTCTTTCGTCCTAGGAACGCTTGCTGGGTTTTCCTGGGATTGTGTTGGATAATTGCCACTCCCACTTTCTCGTTGATTGCACTCCCGTCGGTGTAGAAGACGAGACTGTAGTTTCTCTCCAGGATCCGATCGTGTGTGTTTGTTGCCCTTTCCATACTATCCTCTATCCAGGTGTTCGGGGCTTCCCACCAAGTCGGGGTGAGAAAAGGCTGTTTTTGTTCCAAGCTGTGGATGGCTTCTGGCCCGAGTATTGTTTCGCAGCGGTGTTTGTGTCTTTCGAGTGGTCCCCAGCGGTTGTGAAGGTCCTTCCAATCATTCTGGTAGCCCTTCCATCGTCCTTGGGTCTGGATCTGTTGTAGGGTCTGGTGTAGGGGTGATGCTCGGATTAGGAGGTATGTCTCGGCGGTGATTTTGTCCAGGTGCAGTTGGAGGGGCAGCAAATATGCTTCGACGTCTAGTGCCGGCCCTGAGACCGTTCGGTATGCTCCAGTAATAATCCTGGCCGCCTTTCTCTGGACTGCCTCTAGCTTGCGTATGGCTCTTCGGCGGTGTTGTACCCCCGCGCTCATCGGGGCATACCAGATTGACGCAGCGTACGTGATCTGGGGGAGGATCGTTGCTTGGTATATCTGGCGCAGTCCTTTATAGCTGGTACCCCAGGTTGATCCTGCCAGGCTGCCGAGGGCTCCCAGGGATCTTGTTGTCTTGGCTTCGATACATTCAATGTGACTGTCCCAACTGAGTTTGCTGTCTAGGATGAGTCCGAGAATTCGGCACTTAGTCACTGGCTTCACCTTTTGGCCGTCCAGCTGGACAGGGCTGTCCATGTTTATGTTCTTCATGTATGCGCTGGGTAGGTGGATGAGGCTGAATTTGGAGGGGTTGAACTTGGACGCATGCTTTGTCTCCCATGCTTTGCACTTTTCGTAGGTGGCCTCGAGGTTTCTGCAGTTTTCCTCAGTCGTGGCTCCCCAGGTGATGATGTTCCCATCATCTACCCAGCCCACCGCTTCTGCGTTAAGATTTGGGTCTTGGCAGTCTTCGATAAGGTCGGCGTTGAAGAAGAGGTATAGCATCAGTGACAGCGGTGATCCTTGGGGGATACTNGCCCCAGGGCAAAGAAAGGATGCCCCAGGGCAAAGAAAGGATGCCCCAGGGCAAAGAAAGGATGCCCCAGGGCAGTGCCTGCCCTGGGGCATCCTTTCTTTGCTATGGCCGCTAAGCGCCCATTATCCCAAAGCGCCTAATTTGACCCAGGTGTGATATTTTTTTATTTTTGACATTGTGAATGTCCGACGGTTAAAAATCGGGGGCAAAGAGGGCGGGCGTCTCGGAGTCAGTGAGATAACGGGGTCGCGACCAGGTGAGTGTAGAGTATGGGGAGGAGTTAGGAGGGGAGATGTAGGACAGCAAGGACGAACTTATACAGTCAGAGGGGCTGGCGAACGGTGATGATGAACCAGGCGAAGCAGTACTCCCGCCACAAAGGCCTCTTACAACACTTCCGAGCCGAGCATTTCGATGATCGTCACTGTAACTACTACAACGAGTCGATGGGCAACAAGATGTATTGGCGAAGACACAACGTAGACAAGCATCACTAGAACTCAGATACCTTGGGACGACGCTCATGATCTTTGAGTACATTAGGGACAATATTCATATCCAGGAGCATATTTACATTAGATAAACCGTAGAGAAGTTACTGTAAATGGTGCATCCAAGTGCGACCGTAGAAATGAAATCCACATTCAATAACGTCTAGTTCTAAGACCATATACATACTTTACGTAAGGGGACAAAGTCTCATGTCATGTTTGAACGGTTATTTAGTGCAAACGAGAGAGGGTTATGTAAATTGACCTTGCGAAGTCAGCCAGAGTCTTGATATGACATACCTCAAAGCTATTTAGGTGACGATAATGCTCCCCTTAGATCAGGGTCGAGAAAGCCCATAGTCTGTCTACCATGCCTCGGAAATCGTCTTGGGTGAAAAAGCGTCGCTCTGAAACCGCAAAGGCGGCATCACAGCAGAAAAATAGACGGAAGAACACTATCTTCAAAAGAGCGGCAGAATATAGCCTGGAATGCAAGGCTGATATACTGGTTGCTATCCGGATTAGAAAGACTGGTGAGATCTATATCTTTGATTCTTCTACTGAAGGAAGATGGCTTCGGACGTTAAGAAGATTAGTAGGTGGCACTTAAAGTTTGGTAGCTCACTTAATAACCTCGCTGACGTCACAGGATGAATGCTACCCTTGTCCAATCGTTGTGGCTCTGGAGGATATCTTCCTGGAATCTAAATAGAGAGTGGGTTGAGGGAACATGTAATTCTGTCCTAAACGGCCAAATTATCTGAATGAATCTTGCACGGCAATGCTTTCCTGTGCTCTGGCGTGATATACCTGGCCGTGGGGACTACTTCCTTCTTAGGCCCTCTCGAATAATATTGAGAGCTCTAAAGGAGGTTAGCCCTCCTAAACCCGTAAAGCAAAGGAAGCTGCTTAGACTAAGATGACTTATCTGGTCGCGCAATGATCGCGCGATCAACTAGTTTCGCGTGGTCTGGACCTTGAGATAATCGCACCTTTCTATAGCCTTGGCGTAGGCACACGGAGGTACTGTAGGCTTACCCCAGCACAGTGTTTCGAGGCGGCCATTGAGGATGACCTCAATACGATCTTTATGCACTTAGGGGGAGAGCTCCCGATGGATGAAGACACAATGAGGTCGATCGAACGAGAGGTGGAATTATAAACCAGTAATACCGTTCTCCTTATGACATCCGAGGACCTATGAGCGCCTCTCAAGAATAGATTAATGGATCAGAACTCTGCTAGGTCTGATTTAGCAATATGTGGCCCATCTCGAGTCGTTCTTGGAAACATGAACCATATCATCCTGAGGGCGCCCTCCCAGAGCAGTTTACTAACGGAGAGGCTTTTCCTATGTGCTGATCCAGAATATGTAGACTGTCTCGTGTACGGGCTCATAAGCAGATCCTTATAGAAATACATTCATAGTTATACCATCCTATGAATTAAGCAGACTTAGAAAGCGTGACTTAGAAGTGTTCTCCTGAAACGGTGAGGGTCATGAGAGGTTCCTCTTGTGAGGAAACCCGCCACGTGAGGAGCTCCATAAAAAAAGCTAGATAAGAGGTGGTACGAAATGTGAAAGAGTTCATGATAAGGTATGCCTTCGAAGACACTCATCTCAAACCTGGTTTGATCACAAGACTTGCCAATCTATTTCTTGGTCCTAGTCCGTCGACCATCACGGTAGACTACATACTCGAGAATGTGGAACTCTGGTTTGTAACATCGGAAAGAGTACTGCGGATTTCTAATCTGGGCGTCATTAATGAAACCTTAGCGCCGCAGTGGTTGATGAGAAGCACGCAACATCGTCCTGCTGAATTACATGCGATCGAACAAGCCGCGTCGCCCCTCAAGGCAACCATGCGGTCTCTCGGATCGTCCCTTATCCCAGCATTCCCTTGCAGGCTCCAGCAACCAGTCTCCACGCCCAGCATGATGCTCCATCATTTGACGGCAGTGATGCATCTTGCGCCCCTCAAGCCCTCGCTGCCCAGTTCCAAAGTCGCCATTCCGTGTGTCCCCCACTACGTTCGCTTGGAAACGGACGACTGAAACGAGCCTGCATCAAGTGCAGAGAGCAGAAAACAACAAGCAACGTCATCATATTTTTGTGTGCAGAACGTGCCTATGACCCCAAAATATTATGCTCTCGACCAAACAATCGTCTGCCCACATTGTTACGGCTCTGCATGTCTACAGACCATTCCAAGGTAATTGAGTCTTACAAAAGCCCCTTCGCGTTAGAATTCCACCTCGCGCGCGATCGACCTGATCCTGTCTTCATCCATCTCAGTACTTTGCTGCGACCCTGTCGACCCCAGATAACCAAAAAAAGATCCTTTGCTTAATTAATCCCACCGTGTCATTATTCGCCGCGCGCTCTCCCTCGGAATTCGTGCCACCCTTGATTATTGCAGAATGGTGCTCGCCTGTTTCCGCTTGTTCCGCCTGCGACGTGTTGGACCGCCACGCCTTTGACGCGAGTCCTCCCATTGACACCCGTCCTCCCATTGACGCCTGTCTTTCCTTTGCAGCGATAAATTCTCTTTTAAATAATAGTCTCCCCGAATGAAATTCCGCTACAGTCACTTCTCAACTAGTTCGCCGTCCATCTTCCCAGGCTCAAATAGATAATCCATGCTGTCCTGCAAGAATTGCCCTCTCCCACCCATTCTTGCTTTCTCGAGTTTATTTACACCAACAGGGTACCGTAACATACAAACCGTAACCACCATGCTCATGATTTGACGACTTTCACCCTGCGATGGGACCACTGATGAACGCAGGACTAGCGCAAGGATCACCACTCTCCCCGACTTGGTTGCTCTCAAAACTGATAAGGCGAGTCGAGGTAGCGGAATGTGGTGGATGAAACCCTCCATGAGTGGAGACGGTTCCAGAACCTTTGGGAGCGGTTGCCTAGAAAAATATAGATGTCGGGAGCCGTGAGCAGCTGACCTCAGCATAACAAGCTGGGCACGGCATCAAAAGGCGTATTGGAAAGAATAACTATGTGGAAACTGTCGTGCTGCAGTCGAAGTTTGGACTTGGCATATGTATAAGGAACAGCCGCCCAAACTCTCCATTGCTCATGGTTGGAAAGTACTGCACTGTGATCGGTTCTTTTTTGGAGCTCGGAATGTGTCGATATCCTACAAAATCATACTAATCGAGCAATACTGTGGCCCGGCAGTGCACGTCGACGGTAACTTGTTTGAAGTTGTATCTGGCCATGCGGTAACCACGACACTTACTAGGGCCACGACCCTCACTAGGGCGGCGGCACTGGCTAGAGTTCCTGTGTGTTCGACACAACAGATTTCAGAGAAACCCAGCGTTTGAGAGAAATGGAAAAGTGTGTTTTTCTTGAAGCCTTAGAATGCCATTCAAGCCAAAATCGGGGTTGGCAAAGAACTACTCCTGTCATCAAATGTGTTCAACATCCGTTGGAAGCAATTGGGTTCATCAAATCACAGGCAGAGCTGGGAAGATCTTAACACCTCTCAAAAAAGCGCAAGTCTTGAATTAAAATATTGGCTGAACACTTGAACAGCAAGAACGGCTTACATGATGGCTTTTCAGCGACTGACTCATTGGTCCCACTCCTTCAGGGTCAAAGCCATCGCCCACTTTCTGGTCACTGGACTCCCACCTTGAGGTGGGAGAAAGTTGGGCAACTAATTTCTCCCTGTCTGCAAGGCCCTCTCCGCTACTTTTGGTGGGGTAATGGATCACGCTGAAGAGTTAGTTATCTTGGGGTTCAACGGGTTCAACGTTGCTGACTTACTGCTTGCTTTCGCTCGTTGTTCTTGCGGCTCCCCTAGTTATGTACTCTGTATGTATATTTTGTGATTCTAAACGAAATTAAAATCTTCTGGAGGGAAAAATATCAACGGAAGTTATCGATTCATAGGCAGCAATTTGCTTCAGTAGTGTTCATTGAAATGGTGGGAGGCCTAGTCCGCATTTGGCTGCCTCACTTAGTCATTATTCCTGTCTTAGACGGACCAATAGGCCACCAGCCCTTTCCATTGGCGCTCGTCTCTTAGCCTCTTAGGTGAGCATTGATGCCTATTCAGGGGGCGAGCAAGCCAACCCGTTCTGTCAGCGTCAGCCTCTGTTCACTCCATCCCAGAAGAGTCGGTCAACACCAAGGTACACTGTCTGGACACCCCTAGCTGCAGCTGCATGAAACGGATACGAAAAGATCACCAAGACCCTGATAGCCACATGTCAAGTTAACATCAATACAAGAGAGAGTTGGGCAGTTAATTTCCCCGTCTGCAAGAATTGCCCTCTCCCATTCTTGCCTTCTCAAGAATACCGTATCAACATACTCGAGGGTTGAACAGTGAAATGCCGACGCTAGTGTGAGGAGCCGGGGGCACCCACCTCTTCACTCTACTCTCTTCACAAGACTACGTACTCCTTCCGCGGCAAAAAAGACCCATTCATCAGCAGGATGAACATCGAGCGGTTAATTAAACTGTCTGGCGATTCCTCAATCTAAATCAGGAGAGCTTGGCAGTGAGCAGCTTGATGTCGAGTGCTTCTGATTGATGATTGATTGATTGATTGATTACGTCATCCGAACCGGCCCAGCCGCCCCGAAGGCAGCTATGCGGCTTGTATCCTAATCGACGGTCGCCAGCTTCGACCTTATGTACATGAAATTAAAATGTATATCTCTCAAGGTAGGAGAGAAGGTAAAATCTGGTTAGAAGTGTGCCTGCCCGTGCGCATTGCTGCCGCACAGACTGGTGTTGCATCCGCGTGCGATCGGGGACTCAGTGCTCCGCTAAGTTATCCGTATCGACGCTCCGAAATTGCCCAAGGAGCTTGGTTTCCAGCATGTATCTGGCGGCTCGCGCCGCCTGTTTTCCATCAGTGAGCACCTTTTTCAGGTTGGCCGACCATGTGCCTTCGTTCCGCCACACGTTGCGTTCATCTTTAAACCTGGGGCAGGTGAATAAGATGTGTGCAACGGTCTGCTCCCCCCGCCGGCACTGGCACTGGCCGTCCTCAACTTCAGGGACCTTCCTCTGACAGAGGAAGTGCCTTAATCCTATGTGCCCCGTCCTCATTTGCGTTATTATAGATGAGAGCGCTTTGTCTAGATTGGTGTGGATCTCTGTGTTTTTCTTGGTCGGGGTGTTGATGATCTGGAAGAGTGCGCGGCCTCTTGTGTCTTGGTGCCAGTTTCGTTCCCACTGTTCATAGGCTCGTGTTTTCAGCTTTCTCTTGAGTGCAGACATGGGTTGTCTCAGGCCCTCCAATCTTGGGGCTGTAAAGTCCGTGTCTATTTGGACGTTTCGTCCTCGGGTATTCCGCGTGAGTCTCCATCCTGTGGCTTCCTTCGCAGCCTTGTCTGCTAGTTCATTGCCTTCGATCCCTTGATGTGCCGGGATCCAGTGTATGGCTACATGGACGCCCCGACTCCGGAGTTTATCCCATTCCTGGATGATCGAGCTGATGATCTGCTGTCCCGTGGTGTGTGGCCCGTCTATCGCTTGAATGGCGGCCTGACTGTCCGAGAAAATCGTCACCTTCTGGTTGTCGAGGAATTGGGCCATCTCCAGCGCCATCTGGATTCCCACAAGCTCTGCCATGAAGACGTTTGCCTCGGTCTTTCGTCCTAGGAACGCTTGCTGGGTTTTCCTGGGATTGTGTTGGATTGTTGCCGCTCCCACTTTCTCGTTGATTGCACTCCCGTCGGTGTAGAAGACGAGACTGTTGTTTCTCTCCAGGATCCGATCGTGTGTGTTTGTTGCCCTTTCCATACTATCCTCTATCCAGGTGTTCGGGGCTTCCCACCAAGTCGGGGTGAGAAAAGGCTGTTTTTGTTCCAAGCTGTGGATGGCTTCTGGCCCGAGTATTGTTTCGCAGCGGTGTTTGTGTCTTTCGAGTGGTCCCCAGCGGTTGTGAAGGTCCTTCCAATCATTCTGGTAGCCCTTCCATCGTCCTTGGGTCTGGATCTGTTGTAGGGTCTGGTGTAGGGGTGATGCTCGGATTTGGAGGTATGTCTCGGCGGTGATTTTGTCCAGGTGCAGTTGGAGGGGCAGCAAATATGCTTCGACGTCTAGTGCCGGCCCTGAGACCGTTCGGTATGCTCCAGTAATAATCCTGGCCGCCTTTCTCTGGACTGCCTCTAGCTTGCGTATGGCTCTTCGGCGGTGTTGTACCCCCGCGCTCATCGGGGCATACCAGATTGACGCAGCGTACGTGATCTGGGGGAGGATCGTTGCTTGGTATATCTGGCGCAGTCCTTTATAGCTGGTACCCCAGGTTGATCCTGCCAGGCTGCCGAGGGCTCCCAGGGATCTTGTTGTCTTGGCTTCGATACATTCAATGTGACTGTCCCAACTGAGTTTGCTGTCTAGGATGAGTCCGAGAATTCGGCACTTAGTCACTGGCTTCACCTTTTGGCCGTCCAGCTGGACCGGGCTGTCCATGTTTATGTTCTTCATGTATGCGCTGGGTAGGTGGATGAGGCTGAATTTGGAGGGGTTGAACTTGGACGCATGCTTTGTCTCCCATGCTTTGCACTTTTCGTAGGTGGCCTCGAGGTTTCTGCAGTTTTCCTCAGTCGTGGCTCCCCAGGTGATGATGTTCCCATCATCTACCCAGCCCACCGCTTCTGCGTTAAGATTTGGGTCTTGGCAGTCTTCGATAAGGTCGGCGTTGAAGAAGAGGTATAGCATCAGTGACAGCGGTGATCCTTGGGGGATACTGGTTTCCACGCTCATAAGCTCCGACTTTCCTTCAGGGAGTCGTATCGTGGTTCTGCGGTTTTGGAGGAAACTCGCAACCCATCCGGCGACCCGCCAGTCTATCTTTCGTTTCCTCAGGTTATGGATCAATCTAAGGTGGGAGACATTGTCGAAGGCCCCAGATACGTCTAGGGAGAGGATCGAGACCACTTTTCTAACCGCCTTTCCGTTGTGCTCTAGGTTTATTTTCTCCCGTAGCCAGTGTAAGGCGTGGTCGGTCGAAACGCCTTTTCTTCCCCCCATGTGGGTTGTGGGTAGTAAAGAGTGTCTTTCCACTATTTCCGAGAACCTTCTCGCGATCATCTTCTCTAAAACCTTTCCCAGCGTGTTCAGGAGCGCCACCGGCCGGTAAGACTTGACCTGGGTGTAGTCGTCTTTTCCTGGTTTGCGCAGAGCTACCGTTTCGGCGATCCTGAAATGTTCTGGGCAGTAGCTTTTTGTGATACACGCGTTGAAGAGCGGAGTGAGGATAGGTGTGAGGATATTCCGAAGGGCTTTCAGTATGAAGTTCGGTATCCCGTCTGGGCCTGGGGCTTTGCGCGTTGCTACCATTGAGAGTGCTGTTTTCACCTCCCTTTCCGTGAACGGTGGCCACTCAACAGGGTCGGGGTAGGCGTAGTCCTCTAGGTCTGAGAGGTCTGCATCTTTCGTGCGGGGGAAGAAGATTTCCCTCAGGAGCTGGATCTTGTCTTGGGTTTCGGTTTTTATTGGTCCCTGTCCATCCCTCAGGGGGGGAGTGAAGGACTGTCGTTGCTCTCTGCTCTTGGCCCATTTGGCTAGTTTCCAGAGGCCCTGTATTGAGCCGGTGGCTTCCTGAATTCTTTCTCGATGATTTCTCCTCAGCAGCTTTTTTATCAGGCGTCCTTTGAGGTTCCGTGCAGCGGTGTATTCTTCCCAGGCCTTTTGCGTTCGGATTTTCTGGTACTTTCGCCTCAGCCGACGCGCTCGCATCTGGGCTTCCTTTATTTCCGGAGTCCATCCGGGAATGGATCTTGGGCATACTCTCGATTCGGGGCAGTGGCGGTCGATCGCGGTATTGATGGTTCTAATTATGTGGTTAACTTGCTCATCAATATCTGCCTGGCTGTCTGTTTCCTTGTGGACTTGGAGGTTCTTCTCTACTTCCTCGAGGAAGGCCTTCTCCTCCAATTGGTGCCACAACCGTCTCTTGGGCTCCGGGTGTTTAGTGAGGGTGACATTTAGGAGTGTTGTGATAGGGAGATGATCGGAGTCATGGTCCAGCTCTTTCCCCGACAGACCGCAGCTGACGACGCAGTCTGAGAGTAGACGAGTTCCGAAGACCAGGTCGATCGTACTCGGTTCGCCCCGTTCTTGTCGGGTCTTGGTGCCTACCGGCAACAGTAGTTCCAGGTGGTGGTCCGTGATTAGGTCTAGTAAATCCTCGGCTTCGTCGGATGTCCTCCGGGCCTGTAGTCCTCCCCACATCGGGTGGTGTAGGTTGAAGTCTCCCAAAACCAGGTGTTCTCCGTCCTTGTCCGTCTCCAGTGCTTTCCGTAGGTCTGGCAGTGTGCTGTCTCGTTCCTCGCCCGTATGATCAATAGGATTGTATAAGTTGTGGACGTGTATTGTCCGGTTGACCTCATCTTCTTGAATCTGGAGATGTAGCGTGCTCAGGTCGGGCGTGTGGTGCGTATATGACCATGCTCCTCTGAGCCGCGAGCTAATGAAGAAGCATACCCGTGTTTTCAATTCTATGTTGTATACCAGGTCAAATCGGTCCTTGACTGGGTGATATGTGGTGCGCTGAAACGGGTTTGCCCAAGGCTCTTGTAAGGCGATAACATCGTATTGCCAGACCTCCTCATCAGCGAGGAGAGGGGCCATGACTTGATCGCGAGATTTGTTGACATTGTACTGTAGGATCGCTAGGGTGGTTCTATTCATCGAATGAAATGATTGACATGATCGAGTCCTGGGTTGCTATGGGTTCTTCTGCCTCTAATGCTCGTCTTTTGTTACGGGCTGTATCTTGGTTCCCTGCCACTAGGAGTGTATTCCGGTCCAGCTCCTGTAGAACTCTTCTTGTGGTGTTGCTGTGTCCTTGGCTCGTATTGGTCCGTAGGTCCTTTCTTGGGGATCTTCCCCTTCTCTGACTTCCCGTTGCGCTGAGTATCGGTGGCTCTCCAGGTGCTCTGCGGTTTCCGTTCTCCTTCCTGGTGTGCGTTGTCTCGTTGGCGTGGGTTGGTTTCCCGGTGAAGTTGCCCCATCGGAGCGTGGCTTCCTTGTGGGTTCGTGGCATGTTCCTCCTCCGTTCTTCAACTCTTGCGAATTCTTCCTTCCTGTATTGGCATTGGATGCTCCATGAAGGGTGATTGTTGAAGCAGTTGGGGCATTTCGGCTCTGAGCCGGGCCTGTCCCTTTCCGGGCACCCTTTGGTGCTGTGCGGCTCCGCACAGTATCCGCAGTTTTCTTGAGCTTTGCAGTGAGTCCCTATATGTCCATACTTTTGGCACTTGAAGCATTGTTTGACCTTGCAGGTCCGGTCGTAAAACTCGCAGGCATAGATTTGCGCACCGAATACGATCCCGTTCAGAATTGCATGGTCCGCGTCTTCTTCCCGTTCAAACTCCAGTACCATGGTGGACGCTCGCTTCTCTCCCAGGCTGCGCTTCAGCCAGCCCGAGTAGACCACCCTCGCTTTCTCCAGGGAAGGGTTGTTCCACTGGATCTTTTCCTCAATTTCCATCCTGTTGTGTGCCTCCATCTGTGTGCTGACCCCGTGGACCAGGATGCCGAAGGACGGCACCCTCACCACTGCCTTTTCTCCTAGCGTCTGCTGCCATTGCTCTCGGTGTGCAATGAGTTGTTCCGTGCTCCGTTGGTCTTGGGTGAAGAGGGTCAGGTCACCGCTGGGATGTCGTTTCACTGCGATAATCTGGGTTTTCTGTAGGGCTGGATCCTGGTGACTTTTTAGCATGTTGTTGACCTTTTCTTTTACGTCTTCGGCGGTTGCTCGACGGCTTGTTTGCTCCGGATTCGTTTCGTTCAGCTTCACGAGGATCTCTCGGGGTCCACTCGAGGGTCGGGTCTGTGTGGTAGGTTTCAGTACGTATGGGTCTTTCACAATTTGCGCATAGGTGGGGGCTGGTGCTTTACCAACTGGGGCTGCGAGGATGTTCTTGATTTCCGTGATCTCTTTGCTGAGGATTTCCTGGGCGCGAGCCGTCGCGTGCACTTCCGTGGCCAGCTGGCTGGTGGTAGGGAGGTCCTGGGTTTTCTCAAGGTAGGTGTTGAAGCTCCTGAGGAGCGGTTCGATCATATTCCAGTTTGGTGCTCGATTCTTGCCTAGCGGGTTGACTCGGTATTCCATCAAGGCGCGTATGTCTGCTTCAATTTGGATCGCGTGGTCGCGTATGGTGGGTGGCTGGAGGCCCAGCTGTGGCGCAATGTGGCTTCCCGACATGCTTTCTTGGTACTGGGCGATACCTTGAGAGCTGACGAGTAACCTGGGTCACAGTCTGAACCAAATAAGTCAGTGGTTGTGGAGAAATTTCAAAAATTAGGTATCGACAGTAGGTGGTTGTTTTGCCTTGGCCCCGTCACCCACGGAATTGCTGACTAATGTTCGAAGGTCCGCGTGCCACTGCATGCTGCGAATTACGAGTGAGGTTATCTCCACCATCCCCTTTGCTCCATCATGCATCTATTGCCCTCTCGCATTCCCACAATCACATCCAGTCGAACATTTAGAATAATCTAATGCGAATCAAGTTCCTTTGATACTCCAAATCTGCGTGTCCGCGGCGGAAATTCCATCCCAAACCATACACCGGAGGCATGCCCCGCCCGAAACGAAAAACCAAGGCATGTTCTGGACTAGGTTTTGATTGTCTGAGCTTCTCCAATAACATGTATCAAGGCCGAAGACCTCATTCGGGTCCGAAATAATCAACGCAAATCGCGAGAGCGGAGGAAGCAACATGTTGCGGAGTTGGAGCAGAAGGTAAAGCAGTTGGAGTCAGCAGTAGCAGCGACTAAAGTACCTATGCCGAGCATGAGCCTAGCCAAGGAGAATTGCATACTTAAATCCCTGCTAGAGTCGATTGGGTTTGACAGCTTATCGCTCGAGGGGTATCTACGGGGCGCTCCTTTCGATGGACTGCAGGTGCCGTTCAAATCCGATTTCATCGCACCCGCGGGTCCTGTAACTGATGTGGGGTTTGGGGGGTTGGAGCTTGGGTTGATGCCTGTACGCGCTCGAGGTACCCTTCTTAAGATAGTGGCTAACCTATGTTCGTTAGACTGATCAACTCGATGCTCTCGCTACAGGAGAACCAATTTCTAGTACCCAGAATATAGGCCTCGTTAGCCCCGATGCCTCGGATCTCTCGTACTCTGCCCCGACATTAGGGGCGAATGAGATCTCACTGGACATACTTAATAGTCAGCCTCCAATATGGGACACTGAATTATTAATGACCGAAGACCCAGCCGGTATACCGCACGTGGTAGATGGAGAAATCTCGCGGCCAGCAAACTCTGTCAATGGCGAGACTACATTATGCAGTGTTGCATTCCACCTTATTATCCAGTGCAACCGCATGGGCAAGGATGTGCTCGAGCTCGAGACGAAGCTGCGGTATGGGTACAGAATGCCCGCTGTTCCCGGCGAAGGTTGTCGGGTAGATAATGGGACTCTTTTGGCGGCGCTTGTTGAGCTGGTTAGTGAACCTGGAATAGGTCGGTGCTGGGATCAACGTGGTTGATTAATGATATTTTTCTTGTTTCCTTTTCCTTTCTTTTCTTTGTGTTTTATCTTACTTCTCTCGTATCACGTCGAGTTGAACATGGTTGACAGCCTGGAAGCAATGCTGTATCTGGTATGTCACCATTTGACAAAGGTAGATAGAGCGGGATGTCACTATTTACACGTGGGGAAGTCTTGGCCATGTCACTCACGCGTTATTTAAGCAGCCAGGCTCCGCTAAGAAGTTCCAGATAAATCCTGAAGCAGCCTGCTCATATTTCTTTCCCCTGCTGCTGTGTAATTTTTTTTATCTGCTTCAAAATGCCAACGCTGTTAGACGGGAGATATTTGGACGTGGTCATCGTCGGCGCAGGACTCGGAGGTAACTGCAATTCCTTATCAATATTCGGCAAGCTGGATAGTATGATAATAAGATCATTGCTCAGGGATATGTGCTGCGGTCAACCTGCAGAAACAGTATCCGCACGCAACGTTCGGCGTGTTCGAGAAACATCACCGGATAGGGGGCACCTGGGCGAAGAATACATACCCAGGATTACGGTGCGATATACCTTCAAAGGTATGTCTGTCAAACTCACCGGTTGATCCGAACTGGTATCCCTGTCATTGTGTGCTACTTAATTCTCTGGAGATGGAGGTTTCCGACGTTGGTATACTAACTACAACGCCGGCTTTGCAGCTCTACTCATACTCCTTCGCGCCTAATCCTGACTGGTCGTCCACATATGCCTCGCAGCCCGAGATCCTCGCCTATATTGAGCGTGTAGCCACCAGGCACCGTATTCCAGAGCGCATACACCTGCAGCAGGAATGCCTTTCCGCCTGCTGGCGGGAGGACGATTATATATGGGAGGTTCATTTCAAAGACTGTGCGTCGGGAACTCTCTACACGACAGAATGTCGGGTTCTCATCACGTCAATTGGCTTTCTTGATATCCCACGCGGGCCCGATGGTATTATCGGGTCTGCAGAATTCCAGGGAAGCGTCTTCCACAGCGCATCCTGGGACCACAATGTCGATTTTGAGGGACGAAATGTTGTCGTGATCGGCAACGGATGCTCTGCAAACCAGTTTATTCCGTGGCTACTCAAGCACACGGGGTTGTCGAAGTTGACACAGGTAGTCCGCAGCGCACACTGGATTGCTCCGAAGACAGATCGCATTATTGGACCAAAAGAGAAATGGTACGTTTGCGCATAGCCACTCCCTCTCACCTCCATTCCTGCTGCGTTCCTTACCATAACGATTTTTTGTTACAGGCTTTTAAGCCACATCCCCTGGCTTCTAAAAACCCGTCGCTGGCTGCTTGCGGCAAAATTTGACCTTGCCTTTGCGGCTTTTCGCAAGACCATACTTGGCCGGTTCCTGCGCACCCATCTGGAAGCGAGCTTTAAACGGTACATGCAGCGAGCCGCACCTGCTAAGTACCACTCACTCCTGATCCCTGCTTTTACCTTTGGCGCCAAACGTCCTGTGTTAGACCATGGGTACCTGGGGATCCTACACGATTCCCGAGTGGATTTAAGGCTGTCAGAAAGCATTCGGGTGTCGGGCCCATACTCATTAGCAACGGATGATGGACAGGAAATACCTGCAGAGATCCTGATTCTCGCAAACGGCTTTAGAACGCAGAGCCTAATCACGCCAATGAAGATACAAGGGCGAGATGGGTCCCTTATATCGGATGCCTGGCACAAGGATGGCAGGTATCCGTCTGCGTATATGGGGTATGTAGACGGAATAATTCCTGACATCTTACTGGCTTATAGGATATCATATGGGCCCAGGAGTCGTCCCTTCCTAACCTGGGTCTGATGTGGCTTTCGCTAACAGCTTGCAGGGTAACAGTTCCCTCCTTTCCAAATTTCTTTATGATAACGGGGCCAAATACACTCCCCTCGGGCCACTCCACACTATTCGGGATCGAATGTTCAGTCGAGTATATTATGCGCGTGCTTCAACCGCTATTTTCGCACGATAAACGCGGTGGACGCAGATGGATCGATGTACGCGCCGCGGCGCATGAGGCGTATAATACCAACATCCAGCACAGACTGGATGGGTTGATTTACTCAGCTGATGTGCGCAATTGGTACGTTGATGCGCGAACAGGGAGGAATACGCTTGTGTGGCCAGGAACGCAGACTGAGTTTTGGCTTACACGGTGTGTCTGGCCTGTGAGGTGGGAGGACTATGCTGTCGGGTATTGAACTAAAGCTATAACTGTTTCTCTCTGTATCTTATCTGTGGGGTTCTAGAGACTACGAATGAGATCACTGACTTGGATATTGGCGCGTGGGCTAGTACGTAGCTGCTCCTTATCTTGGTTTGACTACGATTGACCAATTGCCCGGGTTCTTTCCAGACCTATGCTGTCAAGGGCTAAGCCCTTTGTCCGGGACTACTCTAAGGCAGAAATATATAAGGGGGAATGCTGTATCTGTGAACTTCGCCCGTATCGTGAGGTGCCGAGGTAGTCTAGTTTCTAGAGTTTTCCAAACCGACAGCAAAGTTGAGCTGAGACAATCGCCGCTTTATGATTGCTGTATTCATCATCATTCTAGTAGCTGAAAAATATCCATGTTCCTCACCATACAATCAGAACTCGACTGACATCCTAGCTCCCAGCGCACATCCCGCGTATCGGAGTAGCTGCGCATAGACTCGATAATCCTGGCTGCCGTTTCGCATGGAGTAGATTGCCCTGAGCTCTGGTTTGCACAGAGTGGCGGTAATTCGGGAATAGTATGAATGAGAGAGTGAATTGGAACCAGCTGCTCCTTGACGGCTACCTGCGAATCAAACTGGGATGAAGTCTTTCCAGAAGCCACCATCCCTAGCGTCCGATCTCCGCGCTCGTGGTTCGATGAAATGGATTGCGTAGAACTCTCGGCGGTTGCACTTGGACTTGAGAATTCCACCACATGTGGCCGCGACTTTAGTCCGGCTCTTGACTGAAGTATAGGAGGCAAGTCCTTTCTGTGTGCTGTCAAATACTGCTGGATATCCTGATCGGGAACTCCATGCAAGCGGAGCAGCGACCGGAGGAGAGTATTCTCCACTGCCACCATTCGTCCCGCAGCCTGAACTTCTTGTGTCGCCCGAACACCTGAAGCCTCGAACGTGCGTAATCTTTGTTCGAGGTCTCGAATATATTCTTTGCGTCGTGCGCGCGAACGCCGCTGGTTGTCACGGATGCGTAGTGACGAAGATGGTTGGCCAGCCTGATATGATGTGAGATCCCTCATAAGAGCATGTTCTGATTGTCATACGTTACCAACCTTAGCTTTTATTGATTGCCTCGTAGACCTGCTGGTGTCCATTGATGCCATGTCACTGTGCTGGGTGTCTGGCGGTGCCAGAATTTTACATTCCAGGAAGAAATTTACGATGGGGCCTCCAGCAGTTGCTTGCACACGGAGATGTGGTGGCGACCGATACGACTCGCCAGGGGCACTCGCCTGCCGCGAAGCGCTTACCTAAACAACTTTGGTTCGGAACGTAAATTAGCCGACCACGAAATAATCCAATCAGCACCTCCTGGTGACAGACTCGCCGTTGAGTTACCGTCTGGCATTTAGTTAAAACGGCCGACACCAATTCACTATCGAATAGACATGTACCATAACACACACAAAGAACATCTTCTCGATGAAAAATCTTCTCACACCATTATTGATATCCAAGGCTATCCCGGCCATTCGCTCAGTGATTCGTTTCCCTGCCATTACCTACACAACCATGGCGCCTGCCTGCGCCTCTGCCACTGTTGCCCAGCCCAAGCCAGCTGTCCCTGACATTCCCAATGGACTCCATAACACCGAACACTCCCATCACGTGTCTCTGTCTATATCAGAGCGCGAAGACAATCCTGAAATTCGGCTGAAATATCGCCCCTTCATCCTGAAGCCTGACGACGCCGAGGACTGGGTGAATACCCTGGAGTTAGCAACCGTGATGGACATGGCAGCGCAGGAATTACGAAAGACAAATAATAGACTAAAAGTACTGGTATTGTACGGCAGTCTTCGGCGAAGGTCTTACTCTCGACTGGTGGCGCTTGAAGCCAGCAGGATTCTCTTCCGGTTGGGATGCGATGTGCGCGTGTTTAATCCGGACGGGTTACCAGTGAAGAATGATACCGATCACGGGCATCCAAAGGTGCAGGAGCTCAGGGAGTTGAGCAAGTGGAGTGATGGACATGTTTGGGTATCGCCCGAACAGCACGGAAATCTGGTTCGTCTTGCTACAATCTCACCAGAATTGCTATGTCACCGCTAACAACTGCAGACCGCCGTCTTCAAAAATCAGATTGACTGGATCCCGCTCACCACAGGTAGCGTGCGTCCCACACAAGGCCGGACCCTTGCCATCGCGCAGGTGTGCGGTGGATCGCAATCATTCAACGCGGTCAACTCTCTACGTATCCTCGGCCGGTGGATGCGGATGTTTACCATCCCAAATCAGTCCTCTATCCCTAGAGCATACACGTACTTTCCTGACGAGGGTCAACCAGGAAACGAGAGGCTCATGCCTAGTAGTAATAGGGACCGGCTAGTGGATTGCATGGAGGAGTTTGTAAAATACACTATTCTCCTGCGGCCTCACCTGGAGCTTTTCGGTGATCGGTTTAGCGAGAGAGAAGAGAAGAGGGTCAAAGAAGAGAAGATAAAGCAAGCAATAGCGAGACAGCATTAGCTCTAAAGAACAGAATGCATGTATACTCATTGCGCAGGTCAGGATTACAGTTATCTTGGATGACATAACTTACATATTTCTTTCTTGTCACTCACCTTGAGCGATGTGTACACATAGAGGCCGAGCAATCAACAACTATAGCTAATAGTCTACTGCAGTTTCTGTTATTAGGAATAATTGCATTCTGCGCGCCTTTCCATCTAACCCTGGAGTAACTGGTGGAGAGTCATAACAGCAAATAATATTTTGTCTTTTTATGTTGCTAACAGTGCATGTCTAAACCCCCAAACCTTCAAGATCAGTCCTTCCAACCAACCCGCTTGGCAATTGGCCTGGCAACATAAACAAGGCCCAACAAAACAGGAACCTCGATTAACGGGCCAACAGTTGACGCCAAAGCCTGGTTGCTATCCGCCCCGAAGGTTGCAACAGCGACAGCTATAGCGAGCTCAAAGTTATTGCTCGCCGCGGTGAAACTCTGTGTAGCAGCCAGCTTGTACCCAAATCCAAGCTTCCAAGTGATAAAGAGGGTCACGAAGAAGATCAGGACAAAATAGACTATAAGGGGCGCGGCGACTCTGACTACGGAAACAATCTGGTGGACCACCTGACGGCCTTGTGATGCGAACAAGATAAGGATCGTAAACAGAAGCCCAATTAGTGACCAGGGGCTAATCCACTTGAGAAACACCCTGTCATACCAGTCAGGGCTTGTCAGAGTGCGAATGCCGAAGCGAGTCACAATAGCCGCTCCAAGTGGGATTCCAAGGAAGACCGCAACACTTTTAGCTGCGGTGCTGTAAGAGAGAGCAATATTGTCTCCGCCGCTGATAACCTCGATAAAGAAAATGGCCATGGGCGCAAAGAGTACCATCTGTAGGAGCGAATTGACGGCAACAAGGATTGCGCAATATTCGTTGTCGCCACCAGCCAGTCCTGTCCAGATCAAGACCTATGCATGTCAGTTAACAGTGTGGCAGATTGGCTCATTGAGATGCAACCTACCATTGCGATACATCGTGCTAGGCCTACTAGAATGAGGCCCTGGCGGAGCTCAGGTTCGTCTGGGAGGAAGGCCCAAGCTAAAGCCAACTGCAAGAAAATATCAGCAACGCCATGAGTAAATGTTAGAGGAAGGTGCATTGCCTACCATCATGAAAGGGGCAATAATCCAATTGACAATAATACTGAAGGCAATTTGGATCCAGATCTCCCGAGTGGAGAACACACGATGAAGGGACTCGTATCTCACTTTACAGAGGATAGGGTACATCATCACCAGGAGGCCAACAGCTATTATTCACGTTAAACAGAGGTATTCCAGAGAAGTATCAAAAAGAGCCACATACCAATAGGCACTGAGACGCCAACGAAAGTCCCTCGTTGCAAGGCGGGACCAGTATTTGGGACAAAATTTCCTAGGATGATTCCAATGGCCATTGCTAGAAAGATCCATAGTGCTAGGAAGCGGTCTAAAATCCCTAGGCCCTTAAACGCTGATTGCTTGGTGCAGGAGCTTTGTTGAGGCTCCTGACGAGCTTGCTTCTCAAGGTCACTAGGGTGGACATGTTGATGGCTCGTGGACTGGTTGCCTCCTTCCGGTGCGGTTTCCATTTCGTGCTCCGACGGAAGTAAAGTATCTGAAGATCAAACAAGGGTTAAGAGAGCTGCCAGGGCGAAGAGTTTATTCCTGGACTCAGAAAAAGAGACCGGAGAAAATGTTGCTTAGGAGACTAAACCTTGAGACAAAGGCTGTTGTTATATAGGCAATTGCGGCGACAGACAAGAGTTTCCAGCTCTTTTCTGGGTCCTTCTGTTGGCAGAGTGATCATCTCCCGCAGGAGGTCACTCCTCGCTGCTAATTGGTTGACCTTCAAATGCCCCCACTGCGTTGGCAATGAGACTTCGCACCGCACTTTGTCAGCCAATAGTAGTAGCTCTGTGACATTCAGCGTTTTTGCCGACGAGTCTTTTGGCACGTGCTCTTGCAGAACTACTGGATTGACCAATACTGCTAGTATGAAAATCCCACCAGTTGAAAGGCCCGTTGGGGGTTTGGTCCAATCAAGGTGGCGAAGTGACATATTAAATCTGGCAGGCCATTGAAGCGTGGGAAAAAGGCGTGATAAATAGTTCGCTCACCTGTAAGCTGCTTGTGGTGTTGGCCTTATACAGAGCTCTAAATCTGCGTTTCCGAGACATCCAGCCCCCCTCAATACTCCATGTGAGTCATTATATCCATGCGCTGCCTAACGTTTTTCTCAGCATTAATCAGGACAGAACAATCAACATTCAACATCAAACAAATAATTCCACCATTTGCTGTGCAATAATTTCAATTATCCAGATCAACAACAACAATGAGCGACAATCCTAGTGTCTTATTTGTCTGCGTTCACAACGCTGGCCGCTCTCAAATGGCTGCAGGCTACCTCACTCATCTCGCGGGCGACACAATCGAGGTCCGTTCAGCCGGTTCCGCTCCGGCCAGCTCTATCAACCCTAGAGTCGTGGAAGCAATGCTTGAAGAAGGCATCAACCTTGCCGACCAGATACCAAAAGTCCTTACCGCCGACGCCGTCCAGCGCAGTGATGTTGTTATTACCATGGGCTGCGGTGACGCTTGTCCCTTCTACCCGGGCAAGCGATATCTTGATTGGAAGCTGGACGATCCCGCCGGTCAAGGGCTTGAGGCTGTACGACTGGTTAGGAATGAAGTGCGTCGTCTGGTGGAGGAACTTATCAAGGAACTTCGTCCCTCCCTGAAAGAATAGGCCACATAAACATATGTGTTTCGTCAATTGTTATTGCAGTGGTTGTGTGTACAAGAAGGGCTGCTTCGGTAGTTTAGTTGAAGAATAGCTGGTTAATATTACTTTTCGAATCCGCTAGTAAGTTCGTATGACCTCCGAAAAGCGCGGAGGTTCGTTATCGACGTACGCTTAGCCTGCCTCAGATATAAGGCTTGGAACTTGCAGTTGTCCAATCTGCTGCGCAGCCTATTGAAGCGGCATGCGGTATGCCGGAGGTCTCCTAGCAGTCCAGCGAAGTCCGTTACGACAACAATTATAGAAATTGTATTGAAAAGTAAGATTAGTCCAGCAGGCTCAGAAATTCCGACTTAAATCATATATAATCTTCAGGCTGACAGCGCGGCTATCTGAGCCGGCGGCCATCCTTCGAGTACCAGTCTCCTGACTAATATTTTCTCAATCAAATAATACAGCTTGTGACAATCAATCATATCGCGGTGGCAAGACCTGCATAATACAGATCAGAGAGGCTAATGCAAGGTCAGAAGTCACGTACATTGTCTTGCGCAAGAAGAATAATCGGGCCTTTACAAGGGCCCGGTCTCTCAGGGCCTGAAGCGCTGTCTGCTTTCGAGGGCACTGGATAGACCACCTGAAGAGGTACCTCCAGCAAAGCACGCTCAGTTTTAACTCCTAATAGCTGAACGTAGACGCGTAATGTATATGACCTTGCAAGTAGAGTGCTGCAAAACGTTGGCAACAAAGCCTCTTGCGGCTTCGACGGGACTAGGATCATGGTTTCCCAGTGTCCTACCTCGGTCTTGTCTTTGGCGTCTAAGGAACTCAGAATCAATGCTAATGGCCTGTTATTGTGGAGCTTGAAATACCTGATGTTGCTCTGTCTCGATCCCCTTCACTTCCGAACTCATTGGCTGTAGGACTTTCCGAGGAAGGAGTCCAATCTATTTTCGCGCAGTGTTGAGTAGCTCGGCCCACTTCTTTCGTATCAAATCGGACCCCAGTACGTCGCGACTGAGAGAGCTGACCCGGTACACAAGAGCTTGGTGTTGGAGAGTAGAAAGTTCGCACACTAATTGCCGACTTAATTTTCAACGATATATCCTGTAGGTGGCTTATCGCAGAAACTTTGATAGATGCAATTATTTTCAGGGCACACTCCGTAGACGGTAAGTCACTGGGTAATGAGTAGATTAGAGGACAAGGTTCACTGGCACTTAGAGTGAAGCAGCCGAGGCGACGACCAAAGACATGTCTTCGTAATGGTAGGAGAGCTCTTGTGATGAACTCGTTCGGGAACCAAGCAGTCTGTATTGGCGGCTGAATCATAGTATATGGGAGGAATCCGATCTCTCTGGCGCCCTCAATGACGCCCGCAGCTGATGTACCTCGAGAACTCACCCTTACGCAGTCAATAATAGCTCGGATCACGTACTGTACTGATAGATCAGAGGCCGAGGATTGAATATTAGCCTCGAAAGTCGGCGGTAGTGACTGACACAGCCGTGGTATCCCATCGTCGGGGCGTGTGGTTGTGGCGGGGAGAATGAAGAAGAATGGGAAGCTATAGGACCTTGAACCCTTGGGGTTATCGTTGTCTTGGATTGTTTCGGGACAAGTGTTGTATTCAACGCTCAGGAACTAAGTTAATCAGTGACTTTTTCCAAATCCCATTATCCTAGCACTTACCGTCTGCCGAGTCTCCACAGGAAACAGATCTCGATATACCCCTGGATATGGCTTGATATTCACGCTGTTGAAAAGAGAAGTAAACTCTCGCGTTGACTGTATGCCTGCCTATACCTTCAGCTCCACTTAGTTAATTCAAGCGACCTGCCCTTGACTAACCTTCAATCATGACCCTTAAATCTTTGAACTGGAGCATAGTTTTCGATGAAATATGTATTCGACCCTCAATGGAGTTACCAGGCCGGAGCAACCCGAACTTATCACGGCCAGCGCCGCATATGTCGCACTCGAATATTTCAATATCCAGACTAATCTCATCCGAACTGTGGTATTTTTTAGCCATTGCTGGATGTACTTGGATGAGATTCGGCGAGCAGATTTTGGCTGAACAATCTTGGTTCAGGTCATCAGTAGGTAGCATGGAATGCAACGAGCGGGTATGTAATGATATAGAACTTTTTCTATCAAGCAGAAGCCCAAGGGAAAAGGAGCTTCGCAGCGCCACCACCCAGAGATGCGTTATTTATCACAGGCGCATTGTATTAGCGGTGATAGGCCTTTGCCCCAAACAACCCTGTCAAGGCTCTGCAACTGTGTGTCCTGAACACACAATATGGTTGGTCCATGGAATTAGAGACAAAGCGTCGATGATAACTTCATTGCTCCCAAACGTCAAGCTAAAACGAGATGAACCTTGGCGCTCCCCGTATTTCGCCTCGAAACCTTATCCACAGTCATTAGCGAGAGGAATTTCTGGCACTTGACAAACGGAGTCTACAGGTAGCGTATTAAATCCCTGCGGTGACATCCTCGGGAAAGTCGGAAGGAAAGTCGGAAAGTAAGCGAAGGATTTCGCTGAGATAACTTGGCTAAATTAACTCATTGGAAGTACTTTGCGCAACTACTGAATAGTCAATGGTTGTAACTGCCAGAGGTCAGCACGGTGTGGAGCGGAGGAAATATGACCAATCAGCATTCAGCAGTGACATCTAAAAAATCCTCTCAAGCGCAAGCCGCGAGAGTCGAGATGTCTACTTTTTACCTAAGATACATGTGATATTCGAAGGATATCACAGCAACGACTAAAGGTGACCTCATCAACCACCCTGGTTATAGGAGCTTGTCGTAAACCTTCAGGAAAAGAACCAGCTAAATGCCGCATGGATTAAGAACCGCTTTTGATCTTTGCCAATAATAAACTCAACAACCTCAGATTGGATGATACTAGACATCAATCAGCTGTACGGACTAGCCACCTTCTGTGAGGCGTCAGGGCCTTACTCATGGTACTCGAGAAGTATTCTAGCAGCCTTGATGCTGAGCTGGATGGTCTCTGGTCGGGAGACATCAAATGCTGTCCTGGTCTCTGAGTTGGTGACGCCAAGTGTGCATACTACCACCAAGATACTCTTGGTAGGTCTTCTGGATACCGAAGGATGAACTGCCCAATTTACCATTTTTGAAAGACCCAGTCATGCGCAAATCACCTGATAGCGGACCAATAAAATCCCGCTGTAGAGCAGTGCCATATTCCCCGCCCTGCGTGTTGATATCTGCTCCCTTGTCCAAGAGCAGTCTCACAACCTCCTGATGGCCTTCTATCGAGGCAGCCTGGAGAGCATTGCCATAGCGGCCGCCCTTCGCGTTGACGTCTGCCCCATTGTGGATTATAGTTCGTGCTGGCTGTGCGAGCCCTGCGAAGCACGCATAGTAGAGCCTGGAGCCTGGTGGAGAGCCAGAGTTGCTTTTCCAACTCACATCAGCCTGAAACAAATGAAGCCATCGTTGAAATGTCGCTTCCTCCATCAAGAACTTGACTATCGCTGCAACAATATCTGAAGAAGCCTGAGCTAACGCAGCATGGCCTGTCCAAGCTTCCGCCGCATATCTTGCCATTGGAAAATTCTCCTCGAGCTCTTTGTGGCTACCGTTGATGTCCGTGAGATAAGTCAAGCACGTCTTTGTAATAGAAACGCTGGCAGTCGCATTGCTAAAACCATTCATTTCACCAAGATACTCCTTGACAGAAAAGTGGGCGAGGTGTAGCTCTTTATTGGTGGCCTGAACAACTGTCAGTAAGCCGGGACAGTATTTCAAAACATCAGTCTCATAGAACAGTCGACGCTTGACACTGAACCCTCGCGCCTTAGTTTTAATCTGCGTCGCAATTACTTCTTTAGCTTCCGCTAGCTTGACAGGTCTCTTGGAGTGCACCAGGAATTGCAGGAGGCGTATAGCATCATTCTGTAACTCTGCTGGTATGTTTGCAATCATGCGCTGGTATGTCTCATTTAATGTCTGCGGCAAAGATGCAAGAGCCTCCTCCATAGCGGCTTCGTGGGAACATCGAGCAAGACTGTCCAATTGACAGAACGCCCACCTGAACCTAAGCAGAGTGTCAGCAAACCATGCTATTATTGAAGAGGTAGTAACTCACATCCCGTCGGCCCCATCACCAACCCTCCCCTGGATTTCCTTGATAAGATCCTGCGACAACGACTTCTTTGTAAAATCATGCCGTTGAGCAAGTTGTGTTGTGACCCACGATTGAATATCAGAGTCGACAGCCTCCTTATCAAGTGGCAAACAATTTTGCTCTTCTATCAATTGTGGAATATGGCTCAGAAAATCGGGTTCAGGTCGGCTGGTACAAAGCAGCTGGACATGTAACTCTGACCTGGAAACAATGTCCTTGATCCAGCGGAGAACATCATCTCTTGTAATTGATTCATCCAATGCGTCTAGGATGATAAATACCTTTTTCTGGGCTGCGACCAGACTGAGACTTGGAATCCACATCCATCTTGCTGGTGTGCTAGCATCGTTGAGTATATCCAGTGTCTCCCGGAAAGGCATACTGCTCCACTAGTGCCCTTCTTCTTTTGTTCGTCCGACGATATCTTCATCCGGGATCCGGGGTCTGCTTGGATAGAATTAATAAGGTCGTCCAGACGCCTCATGCTCATCTTAGTATATTCCCTGGCTTTTATTAGCGGATTTAGAAATATCAAAACAATGCCGGCCTTACCAGATTTTTTTGCTGAACAGTATCCCAAATCCTAGGTTTTTAGACAGCTTCGTGCTTAGCTTCTGGCCTCTGCTAAGTTGCATGCTGATCAGTTTCCTCCGCTGGCGCTGGTCACTCTCAGCAAGGCTGACCGGACTGCCCGGAAGCTCGTGGCCTGCTTCACTTTGGTTCAACGCAACCGTTCCAACCCCGCTAATCCACCTTCCCTGGTCTTCCACACTCCTTCGAGTGGTCTGCATCTCATTCAGCACATGGATTGCAGCTCCTCGACGATCCACGGGCTGGCCCTTCTTGGTGGAGATCGTCCTTTGGGCCAGTTGTACTTGGCCATCATACCATTCCCAGGCCCCCATGTACTCCAGCATATTAAGAATAGTAACGTGACGTTGCCGAGAGGATCCCATCTCAAGTACTTGTACCCATATCGAACCATCAGACTACGTGTTACTCGTAGATGCGGCTAGTGCCTCCGGCTGGGTGCTATGCAATGACCGAAGAATTCGTTTGTGTATAGCCTTTGGGACGCCGTCCTGGTGTTGGCTGAGTTGGTAGAGGGTCCGAGCAGCCTCAACAATCAAGTCCCGGACAGGCGATGCCTCCATAGAGGAGTCTGTTGGGAGCTGACAGGATGAACTAGAGCTCTCAGCTGACACTAGTACTTTTTCTTGGTAGACCTTAGGTTGAGGGAAGGACTTTTTTTCAATCTGTCCTGCATCTAGGGTCTTTCCGGCGGGCGGCATTGGTTCAGCATCTGGTAGGGTATTTTCGGGCCCGCGTGATGTTGGAGTCTCCATCAGTGGCATGTCCTCGCTTGCCATGGTGACTGTTGGAAGAGCTTCGTCGTCCTCCATGATCGGCCTTTCTGTTTCCAGACCGCGACAGTCAGCGGTGGGACTGGATTTCGCAAGGTATGCGGAAGATCTGCTAATCCTGGTAGACTTTGATGGACGATAAGGGGGATCTTGGTCTAGCTTCCATTTTCGTTTTAAGGGGGCAGTGCTCGCGTTGACCTGCTGTTCGGGTGGGACCGGCTTGTTTCTCTCTTGAATGGTTCCTACAATGGCTCGTGCGACATCCGGGCGTGCCTCGCAAAGTTCGTGAAGTATTGTTTGAAACTTATGTCGCACTTAGTATGTTCCTGATTTTCAGTGAACCAGCGTACCTTGGGCGTCTCTTGAAGATCAATGGCTGCGTGGGAAGCAATAAGATGCACAAAACGCTCCAGGAGCGCGATGAGCTCATCCCTGATTTCTTGGATTGGATCGGACGAATCAACATTGTTTGACAACATGGTTGAGGAAAGTGAGCTTGAATGAAGAATCGGTTATTGCTGTTGGTGAGACTTGAGCAAAAGAAGGGAGGGGTAGGGATTCTTATAGCCGTGGCTCTGGACATTCTACTATGCTAGCTGGGCGTTCCAGCATCCTAGGATGGTGGAAAACGAGCCAGTCGGAGGTGGCCAGCAGGGTGTCTGACTGACCAGAGTAGACTATTCCTTTCACGGAAAGTGCTTGGTTGGCTATCCTTGCTTCAACCCTCCCTAGTCCAAGGCAGACCCGGCTCGGTTCATATCCAGTTGGCCGACGAGACGGTTAGAGCACAGTCGAGCACGGATAAAGGCTATTGTGCGGGCTCATCGCTGAGGAAAATTATCGTGTTTGTATGTCAAGTCCGCATTGGACCGTACTCTCTTTGACATAGTGCGGCTGGCCCACCGAAAGGGCTTATCCTAAACCAAACTGTCCAAAATATTGACCTTTTCCGCGATCCTTGGCGCTGATAGTAGTCAGGAGCTCTCATCAGGGCGTGGCGAAGATAGCCATAGCGTTGCATCGGCGCCTTAGACGCCACCCGCTACTTCAAACTAGGTGGGACTAGAACTGCGCATGGTGAACGACTAGCTCTTAACACCCAGCTTAGTCTCCACCGTTCAAGTGAATCTTCGAATCAAGACCAGTTATCCAAGCAACCCGTCCAGGGCCCGTGAGGCTTAGGCTGCTGAGCTCTGGGACGCAAATGTAAATGAGGACGATTTGTCAATCAAAAAGCCTCCTGATTGACTGGTAGCAGGCGCTGCTGAACTGTGACCCTCACCGCAATCCTTGGCCAGCAATCCCATGCCCGCTCGCTCTTGGATAGCATGAGACAAATGAGATTTAGTGCTTGGTTCCGATTGCCAAGAGAGAGGAATCGTTTTCTAATAAGGAGCCAGCTGCTCTAAGCGAGCCATCACGAGTTGCAGGCAGCAGGCAGACTGCGAAGGCGCCTTCGTTTATTTCTCGGCGCCCTCGCGGCATGATGACATAAATTGCCCGTTGTTGGTTGGAGAGCCCGAGGCCGCTTAGGCTGCTTGAGCCACTCCACGTCCTCCAAATCAATGATAACCAACCGCTGGGTGGATTCGTCCCATAGCATATTACGCCACTCTTTGTCTTTGTGGTCGACTCCGTGTGACTGGAGGATGGACAGGCAACGATTGCGCTCTTCGTGGAAGAAGGCTGAATTTTCGTTGTTTATTCGCTGAAGACGAGTTCCAGACCAACTCAGGATCATCATATGCGTCATTATTTCACCATGGTACCAATATTCGATGTTCGGCACGAAGCTGCCTAGACAGACCGGGATGTGATGCCCTTGCAAGGTACGGAGGCGGTGATAGTTGTCTGCTTCTGCTATAAGGGCATGTTCCTTCTCCTCCGTTGTGGCTTTGATAATCACGGTATACCCGTGAGACAATAGAGTTGCTTTTAACAGATACCCAGTCCGACCACGGATGTGTAGTGGTTCAAAACCCTCGTTCCGGTTCTGGACAAGTTGACGATGCAGGTTGCGCGTGAACCCACGCGCGTCCATCGGATGCCACTGACCACCGTGGAGTTGCCGATTGGGGCACTTGGTATCGAGGCGACCTCGGTTGGCCATACCGCGGAGGCAAGCCATAGTGCAGTATGATCTCTGCACGCCCTTTTGAGAAGGGGCCTCCTTTTTCCTCCGGTCACGCGGTGCCTGCTCTTGTCCGCTTGCTAATAGGCGTTCACTCCCTTTTCTGCGGTTCGATCTGCGGGCGGCTGGTGCGGTAGACGGCGAAGGTACCCCATTGTCACTGTCGCTATCCTCACTTGGAGAGCCCTGCGGGGTAGATATACCTGGATTACAGCGAGCGCGGGAACGTGTATTGTGTGTCTTTAGAATCGGTTTCCAGTGTGAAGGCCGGTAATTCGAGGACGGCGGTTCCTTGCGTATCGTTTCGGGGATATCACGCAAGACATTCAAGTATTCGACTTCCCAAGTTGACAGGTTTCTATATGCTGCATCATGCCACTCTTGAGATGGAGCTTCGGCAGCCAGTGCTTGGAGGGTGAATGCAAGCATCTGACCCACAGCGGTCCGGTGAAGACGGCTCTCATCGCCTGCCTGCACGTCTTGGTTTGGGATGCACAAGTGGTACTGAAGTACGGTAGGATCCGTCGGAATACGTAGAAAGACAATCGCCTCCCCCGTCCGAATACATCCGAGTGGTCTCCCCAGGCCATGCATGTATGAAAATATCTGAGCAGACACAGCAGCAGCAAGAGTAGTAGCATAAAACTCGAATGTATCACCTTCCTGATTGATAACATCGCGCTCCAGGTCCATCTCATGGAAGCCCGCAACTAGTTCAGCGACGGTTAATTTATGAGGCGCTTTGAACTCCACTGCATAAACTGGTATCTGGCGCTCGTCAGCCACGAGGTGAACACAGAATTGATCGGCCCGGCGATTGCGTCGCCATCCTGAACGTGCTATCTTCTGATTTTGGGCCACCTGTTCCCCCCTTCCTTTTCTTCTACCTCTCCCGCGGTTGGTGTTTGGTGGTTGATCAGGCGCGTCATGTTCATCATTAAGATGCATCTGCTCCAGGCTGTCATTCAGCGAGGCTGAGTTCGCGCGGTCGTAGAATGCGACTCGACCCTCTATACCAAACTCCCGTCGCAAAGTTTCATCATCTTGTAAGGCCTCGATAATCTTTTCAACAAAGTTATCCACGGTGTCTCGCTCGAAATTTCGTAAAGTTGCTTCTGAGTAAATCGGCCGGTCCCGGATATTCGTTGCGACGTAGTCTAACTGGGTGTCGGAGGGAAAGAGTGGACGCGAGGTAAAGTCAACTGCACGCTCGAGTCTCTCCCAGATTCGCTCTTGGAGATCAGGAAAATCAGTCCAAGGTATAATCTTTTTGGGGTAAAGTCGATTAACTGGGTCAGTCACGTTGCCTTGGGTTGTCAAGGCTGCATCTGTCTCAACTCGGATCTCCTGTGACAGATATTCGTGGCAGCGGTCAAGGAGGTGAAACAGAGCAGTAGGTTGCAAACGCTGTTCTGCCTCTTCCCGTGCGTGTCTCTCCTCTTCCCGCCGCTTTTCTGCCTCTTCCTGCCTCCGTTCTGCCTCTTCCCGTGCGTGTCTCTCCTCTTCCCGCCGCTTTTCTGCCTCTTCTCGTGCGTGTCTCTCCTCTTCCCGTGCGTGTCTCGCTTCCTCCAGTTGACGTCGTAACTCGGCAATATCGTCCTGCATAGCTAGTGGTTAATTTGATGTCAGGAATCCAGCGGATATGAACCCCCTGTTGGGACACTTGCGCGACGCAACTCATGATCAGGGAGTAGTGACGCGGCACCTGCGCATTTGTTTATGTTTGATTACTAATGTACCACACACGGTCTCTTGATGCCTTAGGCAGAAATGCTTCAGTTCCTGCGGGAAGCAAGCCACCAGACACGTGCAGCGCTTAGTCGGCGTTGCGAGAACTAGTACTCAACTTTTATCTCCAGGCACCATCCAGAAGCACCCCTCTACCCTACCTGCTACTATGCCATTTGTGCTGCATGTCTAAAATCCGTGTTAACACCGAATAGGCATAATACTTCTTCTGGATACTAGTAGATTATATCAATATTATCGCATCCGTAACGTTAAAAATAGCTTCTTAACGATCCATGAAGGGCATACGTGGTGATCACCATTATTTGTAAGATTAGTGCAGCAGCGTACAGTAGGCACTAATAGGGCATATGCCATAGCGATAATCCCACTGAAACTGTGGAGTATGGGCACCGAGAGGAAGAGCACATGCGTGCATCAGGCATACGCAAAGCTATGGTTCCCTGGATTATGAGTAGGGAAGACAGGCGCGTAGGAAAAAGGAAAGAATATGCGCCAATAGGGCATACGCACAGCCATAGTTTCCTGAATTATGCGCATGGAAGATGGATGCATAGAGAGAAGCAAGGCATGTGCGTATTCTGTGCGTGTGCAGAGCCACGGTCTCGAGATATGCGTAGGGAAGATGGGCGCGTCGGGAGAAGGAAAGCATGTGCGCATGTCGGGCATATGCAGAGCCACGGTCCTCTAGATCCGAGTAGGGTTGCTGCTGGCGTGAAGACTAAAAGTGTGTACGCACAGACCCGGCGTACGCGATGACCACGTTTCTCGCCGAAACCTTGGCGATGGGTATGGTGATCAAGCGCACGCAGAGTGGAGTTGCCCATGCACCAACGGCGCGTATGCGATAGCCATGGGTTACAAGAAAACATGGCCCCAGAATAGGGGAGCTAAATATACGCGAAACTATCAGAGTAAATGATCGCGCGATCATCGCGCGATCAGATGAGTCATCTTAATCTGAGCCGCTTCCTTGCTTTACGGGAGCGCCTTCAGCCAAGCGCTTTTTCTCCTCAAAATTCTCACTCTTTTCTAGAAGAAGATTCTCTAGAGGCGGCGGGCCCCTTATATTATTTGTGTGCGGAGTATATACTCCCACCTTGAGGTGGGAGAAAGCTGGGCCGCTGTTTTCTGTCTGTCTGAAGGAGTGGACCAATGAGTCAGTCACTGGTGAAGCCACCATGTGGGCCGTTCTTGCGGTTCAAGTGTTCAACCAATATTTTATTTCGAGACTTGCGCTTTTTTGAGGAGCGTCAAGATCTTCCCAGCTCTGCCTGTGATTTGATGAACCCATTGCTTCCAACAGATGTTGAACACATTTGATGACAGGAGTAGTTCTTTACCAACCCCGCTTTTTGCTTGAATAGCTTTCTAAGGCTTAAAGAAAAACACCCTTTTTTTGCCCTTTTCCTTTTCTCTCAAACGCTGAGCTTTTCTGAAATCTGTTGCGTTGAACACACTGGAACCACAAGAATGAACTGCAAGAACACTCACATAGTCGCCTGGCGCTAAGTTTAGCTAACTTAATCACCATGCCTCACAACGGGTGACTAATTGGTCCCACCCCTGTCAGGGTCAAAGCTATCGCCCACTTTCCGAGAGACTTCGCCTTCTCTTCCAAATTCTTTCTTCCAACGAACTCGGGGAATTTTTAGAGAGAACATATTACTGTACTTGGAAATCCAATTTGATTTCGTACGGAATAGACTCCGTACACGAAGCTCTATACTACACTGTAGAAACTAATTATCTATACTAGCATCGATTTTAAAATAAAGCTCACTTGCGTAGATCGCCGTGGCAAACAGATATCTTGCCACCCTTGCCCAAACCCACTTTCCTCGTGGCCTGAAACGCCGGTTCTGCCAAAATCTTGCTGCCTAGCTCAGATCCCCACCTGGGCCATATACGGGTTGTCAGTTGGTCGAATGTATTTCAAATATGAAGGCGTGACAGGAAACTCCGTCGTCGACAGGTCGCGATGACACGATGAATTTTTATGAATTTCGCGGGAGAGCTTGCGATGGACGAAGACACAATGAGGTCGATCGCACGCGAAGTGGAGGACTCAGTAACATTTGGGTGGTCGGCAGACCAGACAGGCCGCAACAATGTATTCAGACGACCGCCTGGGTCTTGCACCTGCCGTAGACGCCAGTTGGTGGTTCTCCGTCTGTGGTGGTCGTAGGACCGCGGTCTGACGACCAGCCTGGTCGGGGGCGCAAGGTTTGGTGTTTCTGGCGTTATGTCAATCGGCCTACGCACCAGATCTTACTACCCAAGTCATCAGCGTCTGGACCTACCACCTTAGGCCTTTGCTCTGCCCCCTCTGGCCTTGTAGGTGTTCAGACCACAAGCCTATGTCTGATTTGGGCTTAGAACCCCGGATAGATCTCCTTTCCGGGCTTTAGGCCAGATCGGTCGTGTGGCTTGCGGCGCAGGAGATCCTACATCATGATCCTGACTTATTATGTCCTTGCCCCTTGGATCGACTTGTTCCTGGGACGCACTTGCCTCATTGATCTTATCACCCAGACTTGATTGTTGGCCTTCTGAGGCTGAAGGCCTGTCGGGCAATCGAGATACATAATATGAATCCTGCGCCTCGCTGAAGGCGCTAATGTACCACATCCAACCAGATCCGTGAATATCTGGACGATCTGCTTCAATCAAACAGGAAGAATGGAGAACAGAAACGAGGTATGTAGCAAATAACTAATTAATTCAGTGTATTTGTCAGATTGAGCTACTGTAGCCGCCGGCTATAGTTTGTTCTTTTAAGTTGCGATTAACATAGAAATGAGAAGCTTTTCCAATCCATGGTCTGCGTGACGTGTGGAGTTTAAGCTCCTGCCAAACAGGAGCCTTCGTTCTAGCGAATTTCGAGGCTATAAGGGACTTGTCTCTTATGCATTGGAAGATTTGATTTCCGGACATGAGCCATCGATTTGATAACGGCGCCCGCGGTGTATATTCCCTCACTTTATTGGCCACTTGGAAAGAGGGGAAATCAGATGAAACCCCGCCTCCTGGCAACACTGTCGACCGGCTTTCTACAGGGGGGAAAACATTCCCGCATAGGAGTAAAATAAGGCTCTGATTAGAAGTGATGAAGCAGTCAAGCGAGTAACAGCAAAACGGATTGCTGCTAGGAGGGAGCAATTACTCTATTAAGATTTTTCAGCCCATTTCTATTTCTCACACATAGAAATACCAGAGCCATGTTTTTCAAGTGTGTAGCTCTTCCAGCCCGCCTTTTGTAGATCAATCTCTGCATTTTCAGACAAATATTTCATGAAAACACCATGCGTCACAATCACGATGTGTTTCCTTTGTTCATACTTTAACTGATCAGAGAGTTTCGCGACGTGAGATCTCACTCTCTTCGCCCGCTCCTTCACTGCCTCATCTTCTGGGGAATAACGACCCTCCTTCACTTGCCAACCTTCGGCTAAATCTTTCACGTCTAGTCTCGGAAAAGCCATCTCCAGGTCCTGGGATGCGGATCCAGTGTCGCAGGGAAGCGCACTCCGTTCCTGCAAATCTGGGTCCAAGATGGGGGTCGCACCATTTATAATACCATGGCCAGAGTCTTGGTCGAAGTAGCGTTTATCGAGAACGTGTGGGAAAGCAGCGAGCGTGGTTTGGATGGTGCGCCGTAGTGGAGAGGTGAGGATTATGCCCACCTGTGAAGCATGAGGGAACGTTCGGGTGAGCTGTGTGGCTTGCTCAAAACCAAGGGGTGTCAGGCCGGGGTCAAGTTGAGAGAAGTCTTTGGTGACATTGTGGATAGATTCCGCATGGCGGACAAGATGGATTTCCGAAGTCATAGCTAGAGAAGTTAGGAATAATAACCAGTGATCTACTACAAATCCTCGTCCTGACCCTTTATAATAGCCGCTGTTCGCGGTGAACATAACAACTGAATGAAATAATTTCCGCAGTATATTGCGTGATCATAATTCGCTTTTTAAGTGGCTATTGATATAGGGGAAGTCGAAACCAGTGTCACCCCTCAGAGCGGTCGTTTTCTATGCCAAGCCATATGCCAAGTATGCGCTTAGCATATTTAGTACAATCTCGGGAAACTCGATTTAGCATTCTGTATGATGATCGTTTCGCTCACTAGTTTTATTGCTTGACCTAGGCCGAGAAAAGTATTGCCCGCAAAGGATTCAACTCGTGCCGAAATCAATGCTGTCATTGCTTTCTGTGACGTTGAACATGGATCTCCCACGAGACGGCCAAACGCTGCGCAGACGGTGATCAACTTCTTATTGGATAAACATTAGAGTTGACTCGAACGTTGCCATCTTCCAATACTTTTAATCTTGGCTCATCCCGAATAATTCTTCACTCCCTTTATGTTGAGACTCTCGCTAGTTTATCCGTAGACAAATCCAAAATGCTTCTCCTTAATCGGTCGCGACTCCTCTCGTCCCTACGAGCACTAAATCGAACTTGGCGCAGTCATGCAGAAGCAACCAACCCTGCACGCATAGAAGAGCCGCTATCCAGTCGCCTGAGCGAGGTCGTTCGGCATACCGGGTATCTGTTCATTTCCAGATCTTTCACGCGCGGTTTATCGAGAAAGAAAAGCGGGTTGATGAGCAGACGGTAGGTACTATTTATCTAAATGGCATATTGTGGGACTAATCGCTGTAGTACCAAGAACTCTTCGCCATATTGATGCCCGCAAGCGTGGGATCTGTGGCATGGGTGGATGGGAAGCTGTGAGAGGTTGATAGCGTTGGACCTGGCTCCAGGTGGGCCTAAAATCCGGAGACCAGCCTCCCAGTATCGCGGGCCAAGACAGATCATGGGAGGCTGCAACCAGTTGTCCCGCTTGGCCCGCTGTCCCCCACTGGCTCACAAGCCGTGGCCTGAGGGCCAGCTCGGCCGACTGGCTGCTAACTGGTTCCGGAGGGGCCTGTGAACCATCGAGGCTACAAATCCGACGCTAGGAGCCCACCATTGCCCGAGCACCGCAGAATGACCGCTGCGGCGCTAAGCCGTGGGTCAATTCCGCTGCTGCGCTTGAACGGGAAATCTTGAGATCAATTGCGAATGAGGTGGCTGCAGCGGAATTCTTTTCGCTGTTTGAGTCTCCCTTACTGTTAATTCAAAAGGAGATTTAGTTCCGCAGCAGATTGCTTGCCTGTGACCTATCTTTTCAGCGTTGTTGGCAAACCTGTGGCGAGGTAAGAACCATTAGCCTACACCAATTAAATTTGCTTAGAGGTTTACTTCGCCGAATTATCCCAAAGACCGCTCTCAGAGGAGGGGGGAGGTACAAAACGGATGGAGAGACTGGACAAGATACATTACATATTGTAGCATATGAGAGACTTGAAGTCTCAAATTTGCGCAGCTCTCAGCCAGTCTTCCAGCATATCCACAATATCTAGACTCCATCACCAGGCAGGACTAACAACTCCATACCAACACAACCCAAGCACAGCACCTAGCAAAATAGCCGCTGCAGGTGGAACCTTAAACCACGCACTCTCAGCATAAGTAACAGCGGCGACAACAACCCACCAGGGCTCTTTCGCCAGACTCTGACCATCACGATCCTGCGGAGTCAAATATCCAATTTCCCAAAGCCGGTACACAGCAGTAAAGACTAATCCTACAGCTGATGCATTCACACCGCGGAGAAAATCAACTATATACTTCTGTTTCCGCAGAATACGCCAGAAGGACTGGATCGCGACGGCGAGGGTGATTCCAGGGAAGAAAATCCCTAACCCACCGAGGAATGCACCGAAGATTGTCGGGTAGGATGTGGTTCGGAGGGCGAGTGCACCGAGAAAGACGGCAAAGTTGAAGTTTGGGCCGGGGAAGGCCTGGATTATCGCAAGGCCGATTAGGAAGTCTCGACTGGAAACCCAGCCTGGGTCCACAACGTATGACCGGAGCAAGGGGATAACAACAGGGCCGCCGCCGAAGATCACAGTACCGGCTAAGTACATGTTTGCGAAGAGGTCGAGGGCTAGAGGGGGTGCCGAAATTTTGGCTCTTGAAACAAGGATAGCGATAAAGGAAGCTGTGGTTTCTGGATCAGCCCATGTACAGTGTCATTGCAAACTTTCAGACGGAACTTACTAAAGAAGAAAATGAAAATTGCAGCCCCAACACGGATACGGATTACATGGTCCTGTGCGGGATGCGCATCCCTTTCTTCTGCCTGGGTATCATTCAAGTTTGGCGGGAAAGCCTCTGTACCGGACTTCCTCATCCGTAGCATCTCCGTCCCGGCCCCCTGTCCTGAATTTCTCTCAGACGAACGCTCACAACCTGCAGATCCAGGGGCATCGCCCTCCGGCTCGGTCTGTCGGTTCCTATTCTTCCACGCAATCTTCACCCTCAGAATTTGTTGATACACCCACCCATCCCACAGCGCAGTAGCAACACCGCCAGCAACCATGAGAATAGGGAAATACCAAAGCGCGCTATAGCAGAGGCCAGCACATGCGCCGAAGATTACCAAGATCCGGGAAATCTTATCGCGGATTGCCTTTTCGGCTAGCTGGACAGCAGCAAGGGCGATAATGCCTACGGTTGAGGCATTCAAGCCGGAAAGAAGAGCGTAGACTGGTGCGGGAAGTGTTTCGTCAATCTGTTGCACGCCGAGAGAGAGGGCATACATGCCGATTGCGCCGGGGAGACTAGCGACTTGATAAGCATATAATAAAGAATTGCAAGAGTCGCATTTAAAACAGTATACATACCACCAAAGGACAAATGCAAGCAAGGCCGGGATGAACCCAGCATGAAGCAACACCAAGCAGAATAACATCTTTGTAGACCCCGGTCCAGGAAGACCCTGACATATGGCGAAGAGTTCTTGGTACTATACCCATTAGTTCCTGACTATACTGGTCTTCAGATAATAAATCCTTACCGTCTGCTCATCAACCCATTTCTCCCTTTCGACGAATCGCGCATGCAAGATCTGGAAATGAACCGGCGGTCCCCCGAAGGACGTAAATCCTAGATACCAGGTATGTCGAACAACCTCACTCAAGCGACCAAGTAGGGGCTCTTCCGCGCGTGCAGGGCTGGCAGCTCCTCCATGGCTGCGATATTTTCGATTCAGTGCTTGAAGGGACGAGCTAAGTCGCGACCGGGTCGGGAGAAGCATGTTAGATTGTATTGAAATGAACCGGCGGGAATCAGCGTTCTGGAGGAGGTAAGGAGCTTACTGTACAATTGTTCAATGAGGAATCGAGTTTATAAACCTTGGAGAGACCGTGAACTCAAGGTTGAAATCAACCCAGCGATTATCCAATAGGAAGATGGCGACTGTTCACATGCTTGCCAAGAATGGGGACTTGGCAAATTATGCCTGTCACTACTGAGGTCTAATTGGTTAAAGGGCTCGGGCTCCTTTTCGGGTTTAGGGCAGGATGACACACCCAAGTATCAGGAGTCACCAGAAATTAAGTTCGTCAACCTTTGCGAGCTCCATTCGTCTGAGCTACTCCACAGCTACTAAATGCATGTAGGAGTTGGCCGTACTTCAACTTGAACCAAATATAACTCGCAACGCCAGTTTAGCGCAGTATTATCACGGATCAACTCGAAGAAAACCAAACATATCTCGCTCGTCACGATGACAACCCACCAATTTCTGGTCACACCACGTCACACCACGTCACAACGAAGTTAAGGTTCTGTAAACTGGCATACCGCAACCCGAAATACCAAACTAGCTATGGGGCCATACGAGAACCTACAATTAGCGAACTGCCTAACAGTAGGGTAGCCACGTGACATCCAATTTCGGCCAACCGTGGTCTCGGGACAGCGCGATACCGCCCTGCTTATCGCTTGATTTTATCGTCTCATTGTTACTAAAAGTACGTAGACTACCTATAACTAGCTGTTTCTGAGCCTCCAGAACCAAAGAGGAAAATTATAATAAGCGGTTTGGCCACCTATTACAAGCGACGGATTCTTCCCTTGCAGGCGGATGACTATAGTAAAGGAAGAGGGTCTGTGCGATGTGAGCTCGCCACATCGCGGTGCGATGCAGTAAGAATCTCAGTTCGGTCTCTTTCCCGCCAACAGCACGATTATCTTTGGAATAGGCAGGTCACAGATCGGGGTCGAAATCTCATCAGATCACAAAGACGGATTGCCTGCTCCGAACGCACAGGCTCTGGAAAAGCCAGCCAGTCTCTTGCCCTTCAACATTATTTTCATTTTCTTTTCGGGTTGAGAAAGTCTAACCTAACATAGCATATTTCAACATGTCTCGAACATTCTCTTCAATTCAGAATACTCTACAATATGGAGACATTATTTGCTTATAGCACAACGATAGTATAATTCTAGAGCGCTCTATTAATGAAACCCCTTTGTGCATAATCTGCTGACTGATGCAGAAAATATTGATCCTCGTGAGGGGCTTCTCTGAAAAGCTCTTCCATGGGCCCGATGGTCTTCAGTGCCTTGACTGAAACCCTCCATAGCAAGCGTGGCTGTGATGCATCCGACTCGCTAAACAGCTCCCAGTGAAGCCGAACATTAGCGAGATCACCAATCCGCGAAACTCGCATCTGATTTAGGGTCCCAGTGACCTGAGAATAATCCAGCCAGAGATTTTCTCGGGGACCAGGGATCCCCCACTTCGGCTCGAACTCTGGAGTAAATCGGATTGTCCCCGAAAACACCCCAAGAAAGTCACCTTCATGCACTGGAATGAGAGAACGCACAGAAAGGACTTGGTCATCATCTCTGGGTGCAAGAAGCATGAAGATAGACTTGTCTCTTTCGTCTTGCAAAATTGACCTGCCGCCGAATGCAACACCCAGGTTGTCGGGCGGGACCGCTATAGCCTCATTCTCCAGCGCGAAGCTAGCTTCCTCATCAGCAGAGAACCATGCATTGCTGGCATCATTCCATGATTGTTCTGGAA